GGGGATCGAGCCCGCCACCCGGGCCTGCGCCCTTGACCAGGAATCAAACCCAGGACCCTTCAGTCCACAGGTCGACACTCTATCCACTGAGCAACACTGGCCGGGAGCATGGTAATTTCTTATCATCACCCAACACACAGGCCTGTTGGGGTTTCCCCCACGGTCCCCAAGGTGCCTTCCTCGCTCCGTGTCCCGGCCCCAGGTCCGAGCACCATCCCCCCCCGCCCCCCTGCCAAGCAGGGTGTTTTGAAAACCATCTCGGATGTCCTAATGGGGACCAGATGTTCCCCACGTGGGGCCCAGCGGGAACCAGACGCCTCCCCTCCCCGCCCCCCTGCCTTTCGGGAACCTTTTCCAAAGCGGCTTGGCCCGGGATGGCCTGGGAGTCCAGGAAGGCCGGCCGCAGGGCTCAGGAGCCACGGCCACGTGCCCGGGGCCACGGCGGCCACACGGAGGGGCCACGCGAGGGCCATGCCACGGAGGGGGGCGAGGAGCCGGAGGAAAACAGCTTCTCGTTCCGGGCGCCGGGCTGGCCTGAGAGATCCCGCCTCTGCTCCAGACGGGGGTGGGGGGAGAGTAGGGGGGTTGGGGGGTCCCCCAGGAAGGCCTGAGGCGCTGTGGAGGGTGAGGTCACCCCTTGAGAAGTCACCCACGTGGGAGGACAGAGCACTTGCTCTACAGCCAGAGGGGAGGCCCCGGGCTGGCCAGGCCCGTCCCCACCACGTTTGGCTGTGCCAGTACGATGTCTTGTTTTGTTTTAATATATTTTATTGATTTTTACAGAGAGGAAGGGAGAGCGATAGAGAGCTAGAAACATCGATGAGAGAGAAACTAGGACCAGCTGCCTCTCGTACACCCCCTACTGGGAATGTGCCCGCAAGGATATCTTGTTATCATCTTGATGAGCAGTTTGTGTTTTATGTTTTTATTTTTAAATATATTTTATTGATTTTTTTTTTTTTTTTTTTTTTTTTTTTTTTTTTTTTTTTTACAGAGAGGAAGGGAGAGCGATAGAGAACTAGAAACATCAATGAGAAACACTGACCAGCTGCCTCCTGCACACCCCCCACTGGGGATGTTCCCGTTAACCAAGGTCCATGCCCTTGACCGGAATTGAACCCGGGACCTTTCAGTCCGCAGACCGACGCTCTATCCACTGAGCCACACCGGTTTTGGCTGTGGATATATTCTTGTTGATTCCAGAGAGGGAGGGAGACGGAGAAACATCCCTGATGAGAGAGAATCATAAATCAGCTGCCTCCTGCACGCCCTACGCTGGGGATGGAGCCTGTAACCCGGGCCTGTGCCCTGACCGGGAATCGAACCCTGACCTCCTGGTGCCTAGGTTGGCGCTCAGCCGCGGAGCCATGCCGGCTGGCCACGGTTTGCTCAGTTTTGGTCTTGGTGGGAGTGTTGTCGTGTTCCCATTGTCCTGGGACGGCAGCGCCTGGGCCCACGGTCCATGCAGCTCCTGAATGTCCTGGCGATGATTCTCCCAGCTTTCCACAGGATGCCCGCGTCCTGGGGCAGCCGGGGGAGCACAGCTGCTCCTCCCCTGCTCCCCCTTCCCCGCAGCACCGCGAGGGGCACATGCTGGGAGGCCTGCCCCATGCAGAGAGCCACCTCCCCTCCCCTGTATGGCGGGGTTTGGACAGACGGAGACACACGGGACACTTCCCGGACGCCCTGGCGACCCTCTGCCCTCAGTGCAGCCTGGGCCCGGGGGCCCTCCATCATCCTCCTCCCTCCCTCTCCAGGCAGGGGAGCCGTCACAGGAGGGCGCAGGGGACCTCACACGGGGCGTGAAGCCCCCTCTGGTCATGGGGATCCTATGTTGTGGAGCTGTAGGGGGGGGGTGCTGGTTTATTTTAAAAAAAATGTATTTTCTTGACTTTTTACAGAGAGGAAGAGGGAGGGATAGAGAGTTAGAAACATCGATGAGAGAGAATCATCGACACGCTGCCTCTTGCACACCCCCTACTGGTGATGTGCCCGCAACCAAAGTACATGCTCTTAACGGGAACTGAACCCGGGTCCCTTCAGTCCGCAGGCCGACGCTCTATCCACTGAGCCAAACTGGTTTCGGCCCTTTTATGTGTTTTGAAGAAGAATCCTTTTAAGTGGAGGTACAAATGATTAGTGCAGCATCAAAAACAACAAAACCCATTTTTATTTTAAAATATATATATTTTATTGATTTTTTTACAGAGAGGAAGAGAGAGAGAGAGCGGAGCTAGAAACATCGATGAGAGAGAAACACCCATCAGCTGCCTCCTGCACGCCCCCCACTGGGGATGTGCCCACAACTGAGGCACATGCCCTTGACCGGAATCAAACCCGGGACCCTTCAGTCTGCAGGCCGACGCTCTATCCACTGACCCACACCGCTTCTGGCTATATAATTTATTTTAAAAAATACATATTTTATTGATTTCTTACAGAGAGGCAGGGAGAAGGAGAGAGAGGGAGGGAAACATCAACCAGCTGCCTCCTGCACACCTCCTACTGGGGATGTGCCCGCAACCAAGGTACATGCCCTTGACTGGAATGGAACCTGGGACCCTTCAGTCCACAGGCCGACGCTCTGTCCACTGAGCCACACCACTCAGGGCTGGTAAAAATATATTTTAAAAGCAGCAGCCACCGCCCCCCTAGCCCACCATGGTAAGCACGGGAGACCCTGTCCCTCGCTGGGACTGAGGCCTTCCCGGCTCACGTCTGTGACTCAGCCGTGCGGTCAGGGATGGGCAGGCCCTGGGACACGGAGTGAAGGCAGGTGCGGGGACGGGGTCCCATCCCCAGCGCCACGGCAGGGCTGATGGCTCACATGGCGGCTGAGCTACACCCCGGGCCTGCCTCCTGGGGTCCTGTTCCTGCTCCCTGCTCTGTCCTGGACGGGTAGAAGGAGGAGGCTGTCTGTCAGCGTGGCAGGCCCCGCCCCTCAGCCCCCACAGCCCCCGCCAGCCGGACCCACTGAGGGGCCCACTCCCTCTGGCTCCGCCTCCTCTCTACTGAGCCCGGCACTTGCTGCTGGAGGGCAGAGCCTAAGGGTACTTTATTTTTTAAATTTAATGTTAATTTTTTAAAAAAATTTCTGATTTTTTATTTTATTTAAGATATATATATATTTTATTGATTTTTTACAGAGAGGAAGAGAGAGGGATAGAGAGACAGAAACATCGATGAGAGAGAAACATCCATCAGCTGCCTCCTGCACACCCCCCACTGGGGATGGGCCCACAACCAAGGTACATGCCCTTGGCCGGAATCGAACCCGGGTCCCTTCAGTCCCCAGGTTGATGCTCACCCCACTGAGCCAAACTGGTTTCGGCCTACTTATTTTTATTATTATTATTTTTTAAATCCTCACCAGAGGATAATCTTTCCATTGATTTTTTTTTTTTTTTTAGGAGAGGGAAAGAGAGAGAAATGTCAATGTGAAAGAAAACACACTGATGGGCTGTGTCTGGACCAGGGCCCGGGCTGGGGAGGAGCCTGCAACTCAGGTACATGCCCTTGACCGGAATCGGATCTGGGACCCTGTGGTCCGCAGGCTGACGATCTACCCACTGAGCCACACCGGCCAGGGCTCAGGGTTCGGCCACAGCACGTCTGCACTCTGAAGGCTGCCGATCGCTGTTTTCGGAAGAGCCCACGTGAGGCAGGACCCCCTCGGTCAGCCCAGAGGTCAGGACCCGTCCTGCTCAGTCAGGCATCACTGGCCCCACGTCTGAGTCACGGAGACCGGATCACCGATGCCAGGGCTCTGAGGATGAGAGTTAATTCCCCAGCCGGTGTGGCTCACTGGATAGAGCGTCGGCCTGCAGACTGAAGGGACCCGGGTGTGATTCCTGGTCAGGGCACAGGCCCGGGGTGCGGGCCCGATCCCCAATGTGGGGCTTGCAGGAGGCAGCGGATCCATGGTTCTCTCTCATCACTGATGGTTCTCTCTCTCTCCCTCTCGCTCTCTGACATCAATAAAAGTATTCAATAAATAAAAATGGAAGTTAAAATGTCTGCAACTGGTATGAAGAATGATCTAGTTTATTTTGTAAAAACCTTTGAGAACACTTAGAAAACAAGGTCTGGCCTGATATTTTATGCGTTTTGAATCCCTCCTTTAAGTGGCTGTACAAATTATTAGCACAACTTCAAAAACACCAAAACCCGCTTTTTACTGAGTCGCGTCTGTTCCTTCCGCGGGAATCTCTCCACAGAGCGCGGAAACGGAGATTTCTGAAAAGGTTTACAGGGAAGGCAATGATCCCGCCACCTTAGCTACTACCCCTTGATCAGGGCTACAAAGAAACCGCCCAGAACGATAGAAAAATTTCTTTTTCTTTTTTTGAAGAAAAGGGTACGGACCCTAGCGTTCACGAACGCTCGTTTAAATAAATAAAGTGAGGTGACTTACGAGGGAAAATAAGATGGGCTTACAGCTTAACCAGTGAACACTGGATTGTTTTCTAGACAAACAAACCTAAGATGGGTCGGCCGGAACAGTGACTTGAACTAAACACGGCTGGTCTCCTGCGCGCTGGACTGGCCGGTGTGGCCCGGTGGCTACAGCGTCAGCCTGCGGACTGAAGGGACCCGGGTTCGATTCCGGTCGGGGCACAGGCCCGGGTGGCGGGCTCGGTTCCCCGTGTGGGGTGTGCAGGAGGCGGCCGACCCGTGATTCTCTCCCCTCGTGGACGTTTCTCTCTCCCTCTCCCTGTCTGAGATCCATAAACAAAGTGGGGTCACCCCAGACCATCCCGGGCGGTGAGTGTTTGCGATGCGACGGGGGTGTGAGGCGGGGGCAGGTGGGGCGGCTGCTCGGTGTGGCGGACGCACAGGGGGGAGTGAATGACCCGGGGACACGGGCGGTGGCCGTGGCCGTGGCCGGACGGCGGGCGCACACAGAGGACGCGGCGGAGCCGGTCGGTCGGCCGGGCCGCACGGGCGCGTTTATTGGGGACCAGGCCCCGGGGGGGGGCGGGGGCAGGGGGGCAGGGGGGCTACTTGTTCTTGCTGAGGGTGCGCTGCTTCTCGGCGTGCTCCACGATCTTCTCCTCCACGCTGAGGCCCTTGCGCCGGCGCACGGCGTTCACGTACTTGCGGGCCTGGTTCTCCGAGTCGGCCTTCTCCCCGAAGTGCAGGTACTCCTCCTCCGTGGTCGGCACCCAGAACGGGTCGCTGGGGATGACCTGGGGCGGGGGCCACGGGAGGTGCCCGTCAGGAGGGTCCGCTTCCACCCGGGGGGGAGGGGGGAGAGGGAGGGAGGAGGGAGGAGGGGAAGGGGGAGAGAGGGGAGGGGGAAGGGGGGAGAGAGGGGAGGGGGAAGGGGCAGAGAGGGGATGGGGAAGGGAGCAGAGAGGGGACAGGAAAGGGGAGGAGAGAGGGGACGGGAAAGGGGGGAGAGAGGGGACGGGGAAGGGGGCAGAGAGGGGACGGGGAAGGGGGAGAGAGGGGACAGGAAAGGGGAGGAGAGAGGGGACGGGAAAGGGGGGAGAGGGGACGGGGCAGGGGGAGAGAGGGGACAGGAAAGGGGAGGAGAGAGGGGACGGGAAAGGGGGGAGAGGGGACAGGAAAGGGGGCAGAGAGGGGACGGAAAGGGGGCAGAGAGAGGACGGGGAAGGGGGAGAGAGGGGACGGGGAAGGGGGCAGAGAGGGGACGGGGAAGAGGGCAGAGGGGACGGGAAAGGGGGCAGAGAGGGGACGGGGAAGGGGGAGAGAGGGGACGGAAAGGGGAGGAGAGAGGGGACGGGAAAGGGGGGAGAGGGGACAGGAAAGGGGGCAGAGAGGGGACGGAAAGGGGGCAGAGAGGGGACGGAAAGGGGGCAGAGAGGGGACGGGGAAGGGGGAGAGAGGGGACGGAAAAGGGGGCAGAGGGGGGACGGGAAGGGGGTAGGGTAGGCCGTTACCTCCCAGTGGCTGAAGACGAGCTGCGGGCTGGCCAGGCCGCTGGTCCTCTTGCGGATCTCGTCGGCGAAGCCGAAGCTCTCGGCAACGGGCAGCGCGGCCCTGATGGCGAACACGTCCGTGCCCTCCTTCATCTCCTCCTGCAGCACCCGGCCCTCCCGCCTGGACAGCACGGCGTACACCCGGCCTGCAACACGGCACCTCTTACTCCCCGGCGAAACCGAGTCCGTTCCCCACCGTGGTGGTCTCCGCCCCGGCCGGTGCGGCTCGGCGGACGGAGCGTCGGCCTGGGGACCGGAGGGTCCCGGGTTCCATCCCCGGTCGGGGCACAGGCCCAGGCTGCGGGCTCCGTCCCCAGTGGGGGGCGTGCAGGAGGCGGCCGATCCGTGATTCTCTCTCATCATGGATGCTCCTCTCTCCCTCTCCCTCCCTCTCCGAGATCAATGAAAGCCAAATAAAAATGCCGAGGCCCTTAGGCCCTGTGAGCCTCTCCTTCAGCTCTGGGACCCCCAGTCCGCCGAGGACCCGGCGCTCACGATGCTGAAGCCACGGCAGGCCCGCCCCCAGGACACCGAGGCTCCCCGCTCCGAGCTCACCGTCTCCCCCGCCTGAACACACTCCAGCGGGCTCCGTCATCGAGTCCCCTTTATCTGTCTGAGCCCATTCAAAACCAACCGTGATGGCCACCTCAACGCAATCTCGTCACTACACATCACTTGAGGCCAGGCCCTCGCAGCCCCGGCTTCGCCCAGAAGCTCATCCAGCTGGTCGTTCTGCTGTTTGGCCTAATTAGCATGTTAGTTCTTTATTACATAGGACTAGAGGCCCGGTGCATGAAAATTCATGCATTGGAGGGGGGGGGGGTCCCTCTGCCCGGCCTGCCCACCTCTCACAGCCCGGGAGCCCTCAGGGGCGGGAGGCAACCTGGCGATCAGGGTTGCCCCATCACACCCCTGCTGCTGCCACTGCCGGCAGCACAAGCCTCGGCCGGCCCTGGTTACCTGAGCCTCGGGCGGCCCCGGGCGGCTGCGGTGGTGAGGGAACTGGGCGCCGCCATCTCTGAGGGCGTGACGGCCAATTAGCATATTCCCTCCTTATTGGCTGCGGGAGCCGCCGCCTTTGCGATGGCGTGAGGGTAAATCAGCATATTCCCTCTTTAGCAGAGAGGGCTACAGGGCACCTCCGTCCACCGCAGGCAGGAAGAGTGGTCTGCGGGTTCTGCCATTCCCGCCGGAAGTGTGGGAATTAAAGCCATGGCTCGGGAAAGGAGACAGCTGCTCACAGCCCTGCTCTCTCTAACAGTAAACAGACAGGAAACAACGCGGATCCCAGTTTGGGGGCGACAGGAAGCCCAGGACGGCATCTCAAGCTGACACGACGTTACGCGGAGATGAAATGCGGATGTGAAGCCCCCGGAGCAGCCAGAGGGAGGCTTACGGAACACGGCCCTGCTTCTCCCGTGAGGATACACACGCACACAGGACAGAGATGACAGAAGTCGACGGGAGATGAAGGGCAGATGTCCATGGAGGACGCTCACCCCCTCTCTCCTTCTCTCCCTCTCTCTCTCCCTCCCTGTGGTCTCTGCCACGGCTGGGAACACAACAGCAATGGGTGGGCGCTTCGGAGCCTCACACAACAGGTCCCCCGAACCCTCTTCCCGCCGCCCAGGGCCAGGCAGACTGCTCGCTACACCGACCGCTAAACGGAGCACATGTGGCCGACAGGAAGCAGATGGGCCTCGACCGGCGTGAGATAAAGCGCGCTGGGGCCGGGCCGGGGAGCGTGGGCTGCTGGCGGCTGTCTAGACTGACTGGGCCACGTTCATAGGATGTCAGCAAGCGGCCCCCACTGGGCGACGGCCCTGCGTCCTCACCGTCAGCGACCCCGGGGTGCGGAAGGCGCGGGGGCGAAGCCGGAGCGGACGCGGTGCGGGCAGGGGCGCACGTGCTCGGACAGAACCAGGACAGCCGGGAAGAGCTCGGACGAAGCCCTGGTCCGTGCGGCTCAGTGGGTAGAGCGGCGGCAGCCTGCGGCGGACTGCAGGGTCCCGGGTTTGATTCTGCTCAAGGGCACATGCCCTGGGTTGCAGGCTCCATCCCCAGTGGGGGGCGTGCAGGAGGCAGCTGATCCACGATTCTCTCTCATCATGGATGTTTCTCTTTTCCCTCTCACTTTCTCTCTGAAATCAATAAAAATAAATATTTTATGCCGAAACCGGTTTGGCTCAGTGGACAGAGCGTCGGTCTGCGGACTGAAAGGTCCCAGGTTCGATTCCAGTCAAGGGCATGGACCTTGGTGGCGAGCACATCCCCAGTAGGGGGCGTTCAAGAGGCAGCTGGTCGATGACTCTCTCTTATCGATGTTTCCATCTCTCTCTCTCTCTTCCTCTCTGTAAAAAAAAATCAAAAAAATATATTTAAAAAGATAAAAAATAAAAATATTTTAAATTAAGAAAATAATATTAAGCGCGATGCCGTTTTCTGACCGGGACCTCCCGCAATCCCCCCTTGCTTACCGAGCACGTCGCTGGTGGCCATGATGTCGCACGTGTACATGGCCGCCATCAGGCGCTGCGGCTTCACCTGCAGGGCGTAGCGGCAGGCCTCCTTCATGGTGGCGATCAGCTGCCCGGACAGCGGCCCGTAGCAGTCCGCCGGGGCCGGCTCGCCCTTCGGGGCCGTCCTCCTGTCGGCCGGCTCGGGGGGGCCGCCCTCCGCCGCCCCGGCCCCCTCTCCCGGCGGGTCCCGGCTCTGCCTCTCGCCGGCGCCCGCCTCCTCGAACTTGCTCTGGTCCCAGCGCTCCAGGACGAAGCAGACGCCCATGAGCGGCTCCTCGCACAGCGGGCCGGCCAGCGTGGCCAGCTGGAAGCCGCTCACGATGCTGTTGCCCAGGTCCCGGTACCGGCTGGCCTCGGGGCCGGCCGTGCCCGCGGGGCCCGCCCACACGGAGCTCCGGAAGTCGGCGCTCCTGTTCACCAGTATGTTGGGCCCGCACCTCCTGGGGCCGAAGGACCAGATCCGGTCCACGGCGTCCCTCCACTTGCGGCCGGTCAGGTGCTGCTCCAGCTTGCCCTTGAACTCCCGGATCCTCTCCCGGGTCCGCTGGGGGGGCGGGGCGCCCCGGCCCTCGCTCGGGGAGGACGCCAGCTGCTCCAGGGCGCGGATCAGGTCGCTGTGCTCCTCCAGGAGCCGGGTGATCTCCTCCGGAAGGGGCACAGCCCGCACGCTGAGCGTGGCCAGCTTGTTGGGCGTCGTCACGGTGACCAGCCCGTCGGCGTCCACCTGCACCCCCTCGGGGACCCGGCTGTGGTCGTCCCGGGCCTGGCGGGTGACGGCCACCTTCTGCTGCCGGCCGATGTCCTCGTTCACCATGTCCACGCGGGGCGGCTTGGTGATGGTCTCTCGGAACGGGATGATGGGCTCAGAGACGCTGATTTCGATCTTGGCAAACCTACAGGCGGATCCACGAGGAAAAAGGACAGAAGGCTGTGATTTAAAAAAAAAAAAAAAAAAAAAAAAAAAGGCATGGAAACACCCCCTCCTAGAAAATAGCACATAAAGGAAAAATCTGTTAAAAAAAAAAAAATAAAAAATCAGCCAAGACCGGTGTAGCTCAGTGGATAGAGCGCCGGCCTGTGGACTGAAGGGTCCCGGGTTTGATTCTGGTCAAGGGCATGGACCTTGGTTTCGGACACCTGGTCCTGGTCGGGGCATGCGGGAGGCAGCCAATCAATGTGTCTCTCTCACGGCGATGTTTCTCTCTGTCCTTCCCTCTCTCTTCCATTCTCTCAAAAAAAAAAAAAAAAAAAAAAAAAAAAAATCAAAGAAAAAAAATATCCACAGGAGAGGATTTAAAGAAATCTATAATAATAAAAGCACAATATGCTAATTAGACCGGACAGCCAAACGACTTTCCAGATGTCATTGAGGACAGCCTTCCTGACGAAGTCATGGTGGTGGGGGCCCAGGCAGAGATGGTTAGGGGCGATCAGGCAGGCAGGCAGGCAGAGTGGTTAGGCTTGATCAGGAAGGCAGGCAAGTGGTTAGGGGCGATCAAGCAGGCAGGAAGAGTGGTTAGAAGTGATCAGGCAGGTAGGCAGAGTGGTTAGGTGCAATCAGGCAGGCAGGCAGGCGAATAGTTAGGAGCCAGTGGTCCTGGATTGCAAGAGGGATATCCCCCAAGGGGTCCTGGATTGCGAGAGGGTGCAGGTCGGGCTGAGGGGACTCCCCCCCACCCTCCACCCCCTGTGCACAAATTTCCTGCACTGGGCCTCTAGTAAATAACAATAAAACGGAGACTAAAAATGCAACATGATTCAAGTGCAGGAGGGAATGTCAGTTGTTAAAAATTAAACCTACCACCCAAATAGCAAGCCACAGTTCCTGTTTCGGGGGATTTCACTTTTTCTCCCCAAACCAGCTGAGGATGGCTCAGGCAGCCCTGGAGCGCCCAGTGACCCTGGGGCCGGCCTCTCCCCGGCGGGGGGGGGTCCCCGCTCCTCCGTCCCCCCGCCCCCCGCCCCCCGGCAGCTGACCTTTCCCGCAAGTCGTCCAGGCAGCGCTGAAGGTGGATCTCCCCGGCGGTGACCAGCACGTGCTCGCCCGTCTCCTGAATCAGGACCTGCACGCAGGGGTCGGCCTGGTTCAGCAGCTTCATTCCTCGCACAAGCTGCGGCATTTCACCTGGACCGACAGACGGGGCGGGGCGGGGCGGGGCGCGGGTCACGCACACAGGGCAAGACCAGTGCGATCTAAGCAGGGTGCCCCTGCCCGGCTGGTGTGGCTCAGTGTGGGGAGCGTGGACCCGTGAACCAGGGTTCGATTCCCGGTCAGGGCACAGGCCTGGGTTGCAGGCTTGATTCCCTGGAGGGGGCGTGCAGGAGGCAGCCGATCCATCATGTTCTCTCATCACTGATGTTTCTCTCCCTCTCTCTCTCTCTCTCTCTCTCTCTCTCTCTCTAATTCCCTGGGGGTGGCGTGCAGGAGGCAGCCGATCCATCATGTTCTCTCATCATTGATGTTTCTCTCTCTCTCTCTTTCTCTCTCTCTCTCTCTAATTCCCTGGAGGGGGCGTGCAGGAGGCAGCCGATCCATCATGTTCTCTCATCATTGATGTTTCTCTCTCTCTCTCTCTCTCTCTCTCTCTAATTCCCTGGGGGTGGCGTGCAGGGGGCAGCCGATCCATCATGTTCTCTCATCATTAATGTTTCTCTCCCTTTCTCTGTCCCTCTCTGAAATCAATAAAAGATATATATATATATATATATATATATATATATATATATATATATGTTAAAAAAAAAAAAAAAAGATATGGCGTATGAAGACGCCACATCCTGGAGATATTTACACGGGGAGTCGTGCAGCTGAGACGCCGGGTCTGATCTCCCCAGCGGGATGCAGAGCCGGCCCCACCGGCCGCCTCAGGACACAGCCTCCCCGGGAGCACGGGTGCTTATAGAGGCCTCGCTCCTAGAGAGAAGGGAGGTGTCTATCCCTTTAAGAGTCGGTGGTCGGTGTGGCCCCCGGTCTGGAGGATGGCTCCGTTACAGGCCTGCGTGCACGTTCACAGGACGCCGCCGAGACAACATGAGAGGACTCGAGTCTGACATGATGGCATGGCCCGGCCGGCGTGGCTCAGTGGCTGAGCGCTGACCTAGGAACCGGGAGGGGGGGGCGGGGGATCACGGTTCGATTCCTGGTCAGGTCACAAACCCGGGCTGGGGGCTCCATCGGGGGGCGTGCAGGAGGCGGCCGGTCCATGATTCTCTCTCATCATAGATGATTCTCTCTCTCTCTCTCTCTCTCTCTCTCTCTCTCTCCCCTTTCCTCTCTGAAATCAATAAAAAATAGTTATGGACAAACACACACACGGCAGGCAGCAGGAGCACCCCCCTTTAAGAACAAAGGCTGTCTTACTCGGGTGCTTGGGCTCGATGGCCACCCTGACGATGGGGGTGGCCTCGAAGCTGAGGGGGATGAAGGGCGGGCAGGCGGGCGCGCTGCACAGGGTGGCGGATTTCAGCACGACGTCCTGGAGGCCCCCGATGCCTGCAGGGAGGAGAGATCGGGGCTCAGCGAGGGGGTGACACGTTCCAGGTGCGCACGAGAGGACGGAGAGCACCGACCCAGGACAGGAGTGACAGGAAACACAAAGCCCCCCCCCCCCGGGGTATGGTGTGGTCGCTGCGAAAGATCCAGAAATCCGCCCTGGCTGGTGTTGCTCAGTGGGTAGCGCGTCGGACTGCGGACTGAAGTTGTCCCAGGTTCGATTCCTGGTCAAGGGCACAGGCCCCGGGTTCGGGGCTCCATCCCCAGGGTGGGGCGTGCAGGAGGCAGCCGATCCGTGATTCTCTCTCATCATGGATGATTCTCTCTCTCTCTCCCTTCCTTTCTCAAATAGAAAACAAAAACAAAACATACTTTTTTTTTTTAAAGAAAAAGAAAGAAAACCTTTTGCATTATGCTAAAGCCCGTGGTCCCCCATCTGTCCATCCTCTGTCCAGTTCCCCTGAGACCCCCAGAATACATGCTATTCTGCTTTTTTTTTTTTTTTTTTAAATATATTTTATTGGTTTTTCAGAGAGGAAGGGAGAGAGATAGAGCTGGAAACGCCGATGAGAGAGAAACATCGACCAGCTGCCTCTTGCACACCCCGCACCGGGGATGCGCCCGCAACCAAGGTCCATGCCCCTGACCGGAATCGAACCCGGGACCCCTCAGTCCGCAGGCTGACGCTCTACTGCTGAGCCACACCGGTTTCGGCTAAAATAATATTTTTATTGACGTCAGAGAGGAAGGGAGAGGGAGAGATAGACATATCCAAGAGAAAATCATGGACCGGCTGCTTCCTGCACACCCCACATTGGGGATCAAGCCCGCAACCCGGGCCTGTGCCCTGACCGGGAGTCGAACCGTGACCTCCTGGTTCCTCGGTTGATGCTCAGCCCCAGAACCGCGCCGGCCGGGCTCAGGGTCCAAGTTCATGACTAGGTCTCTCCGGCCCGTGCACAGAGAGGTCTAGCCCTGGCCACTGGCGATCAGAGTCTGCCCGGTGTCCACCAAGCCTGCCAGGAACAGCATCTCCCGGGAGGCCAGGGGCTGGGGAAAACCCCGCAGCCAGTGCTTACCCCCCTCCCCCCGCCCCCAGCCCATCCGCCCTGCTCCTGACCCGGGACCAGCAGGCACTTCCTTCCTGTGCACACGGCACCTGGTTCCAGCGCGAGGGCAGAGCTGGGGCCGCCTCTGTCGCCCGGGACCCTGGCCGCAGAGTGCAATCTGAACGCTGTCTTTTTTGAACTTTTAATATATTTGTATTGAATTCAAGAAAGAAAGAAGAGGGAGAGAGAGAGAGAGAGAGAGAGAGAGAGAGAGAGAGAGAGAGAGAGGGCGAACCAGCCATGATGAGAGAGAACCATGGACCGGCTGCCTCCTGCACACCCCCCACTGGGGATCGAGTCTGCAACCCGGGCCTGTGCCCTGACCGGAATCGAACCCGGGACCCTTCAGTCCGCAGGCAGACGCTCCATCCACTGAGCCACACCGGCCGGGGCGGAAAACTCATTTTTCCTCAGACCATCTCCTCCGCTTGACCACATCCAAGCCTTTCCCTACACGCAATTAGTTACCCACGTCTCAGTAGATGATACACATTTACTACCCCGTTTCCCCGAAAATAAGACAGTGTCTTATATTAGTTTTTTGCTCCCAAAGTTGCGCTAGGCCTTATTTTCGGGGGATGTCTTCTCTTTCCACGCGCTAGGTCTTATTTTCGGGGAAACACGGTACTAAAAATAACAAAAAAAAACAAAACACACCCGCAACCACAAACAATGGGAATCTCTGGAGCTGCTGGCATCCAAGCAGAGGGCTTAAAGCGGTAAGGCTTCCTTTTACGGGCGGGGGGGGGGGGGGGGGCGTTTCGGGTTTCGTGGAAAACACCTGGAAGTGATTTGAACGTTTTTCAAAGTCCTCGGTATTGCTTCCCGCCTCGCCGTGGCCGGCCTTTGAAACGGAGACGCTAAGAGCAGGCTGGGCAGATCAGATGCCGAGGGGAAAAGCCTTCGGCATTAAATAATGGATCTGGACGGGGAACCCCAAACTCATGCATCGCGGCGATCCTGGCCTTAGACCTTGGGCTGGAGGGAGGGAGGGAGGGAGGGAGGGAGGCTGCAGACGGGGAGCCTTCACCCCTCGCCCGGCTCTCCCTATCCCTCCTCCCTCCCCCCTCCCAGTGGAGTAGCCCCGGGCAGCCCAGCCGCCAGCACTGCTCGCTCAGGCCGCCCCGGGCCCTCCCGTTTCCCCCCAAGGACGTTTGAGAAGCGTGTGACCAAGCTGCAAAGTAGCTTTTCGGGAGGTGCGTGGACAGACAGACAAAGGAAGGCGTTGTGTCTGTGGCGACAGAGTTGCTGACGGCACGGTCACACGGGCAGAGGGAGTCCGCCTGCGGGTCGATAAGGGCAGGACAGGAGGGACACATCGGTAACTATGTCCCAGGAAAGCGGGGGCTGGCCCCGGGCTGAGGTCAGACACACCCACGCTGCCCTGTGTCTTTTTATTTATTTATTTATTTGTGTTTTTTTTAAAAGTATATTTTTATTGATTTTTTTACAGAGAGGAAGGGAGAGAGAGAGAGTTACAAACATCGATGAGAGAGAGTCTTCGACCAGCTGCCTCTTGCACGTCCCCTTCTGGGGATGTGCCCGCAACCAAGGTACATGCCCTTGACCGGAATCGAACCTGGGACCCTTCAGTCCGCAGGCCGACGCTCAATCCAATGAGCCACACCGGTTTCGGCTGTGTCTCTTTTTAAAAACATACTACATTTTTGTTGATGTCAGAGAGGAAGGGAGAGAGAAACATCCATGATGAGAGAGAATCATGGATCGGCCGTCTCCTGCCCGCCCACTAATGGGGATGGAGGACGCAACCCGGGCCTGTGCCTTTGGCTGGAATCAAACCCGGGACCCTTCAGTCCTCGGGCCGACGCTCCATCCACTGAGCCACACCGGCCGGGGCCAGGAACTCAGCGCAGCTGCTGAGCTGTACCAAACGGGTAATGTATTCAAAGCTAATTTGATAAAACAACAACACAGGTGGGCATTGTGTGCACACGCGTGTTCTGTGAAGGACACGTATGGAAGGACACAACTGTTATCCATGGTTCTATCACAGAAGGAGTTGTGGGGTGAGACTCTTTAATTTCTGACGCTGGTGTGTGGTGTGGATTTCTACTCTAAGCACGGGTTACTTTTTGAAATGCAAGTGAGTGAAATGGAAATAAAAGCTTATCAGCGCCCTGACCCGTGTGGCTCAGTGAACAGAGCGTCGGCAAGCGGACTGAAGGGTCAGGGGTTCAAATCTGGTCACGGACACATGCCCAGGATTCAGGCTTCATCCCAGCGGGGGGCGAGCAGGAGGCCGCCGATCCATGATTCTCTCTCATCATGGATGTTTCTCTCTCTCTCCCTCTCCCTTCCTCTCTGAAATCAATACAAATATATTCAAACACACACACACACGCACACGCACACGAAGCCCTTCTCAGTCTCAGTTTTCTCAACTGCAGATGAAGTCTATCACTCGTGTCCGCGGCTTCGATGAGAAACATCCCCGGAAGTGACCGGACACCCGGCGCACAGTAGGTCTGCTCATAAGCGCGTGCAGATCCCGTCTGCGTCTCGCGTGAATTTACAAGGTAACAAACAGCCTCTGTTCTCGGCGGCGAAGGAAGGGTACGCAGACCGTGTCAATTGCTTCCAGAATGACATTGTGCCCTTGTCGCTTTGAGGAGAAACAACTGCTGCCCCATAAACGGACTAAGGGCTGCTTCGGTGGAGAGCGGACAGAGGCCCAGGGGAGAGGGCTGCCTGGCCTCTGATTCCCCGAGGAGCCCCCTCCTGAGGCCGGGGCAGAGGCTAGGAGAGGAGCCGCGGGACCGATGGCCCCGGGGCCTTTGAAATAAGACCACCAGCACCATCGGGCGTGACAGCCGCTCCTCTGGGGCCATGAGGCGGGCCCCGTGCCAGCCTGCCGGCCTGCTTCTGATCGCCGAGGCCAGGACGTGTTTTCAGAGTGATGCCCCTTCCGAGTAGGAACTGCCCTCGGAGTCCCCAGACGGGGAGGAAAGAAAGCAGAGGGGAGAGGCAGACAAGGGGAAACAATGGCCCCTAGTATGCGACGGAGGCAGGAGGGGCGAGGGGGAGGAGGGAACGGGCCAACGGGCCAACGTAAACGCAGATGCTGCTTTGAAATCCCTCTGCAGGCCTCTCACCTCCCGTCTCCACGGCTCAGACACCTCCAAATGCGGATGATAAAAACGCCCGCCCGCCTGCTGTGTGTGTGCAGAAATCGGGGCTGGGCCGGGGGGGGAGGGGGGAGGCAGGCCACAGAGCTCCCTGTGTGGGTTCAATCGAGTCCGGTCCCAAAGCACGCACAGACCAGCCACCCCCCCCCCCCGGCTCAGCGTCTGTACCGACAGGAGTCACAGGTGACGGGACAGATGTCACACGTGGGCCGCGGCGTGGGGCCCGGCCTCGCTCAGACACGGGGTCTTTGTTCTGTCTGCAGGCAGGACGGGCGGTGGGCGCGGCTGCCCCCTGGTGGCCGCCGGGGGCAGCTGCGGCCCAGGCTGGCCAGGCCTTTGCTGCCTTGCACAGGGTTGTGGCTTCGGGGAACAGACCCAGCCACTTGGCTTCCGCCCCGGGGGGGGGATCCCCGCGTGCGCTCTGGGGGAACGGGGCGAGGCCTCTGATGGGCTCAGGAGAGAGGAGGCCCCTGGCCCTCCGGAGGCACAGCCATGCGTTTGGTGCTGGAGCCAATCTGAACGGGGACAGAGAGCTCCAGCGACTAGAGTTCCTACCCCTCTAAGGCTTCCTTCCTTCCTTTCTTTCTTTCTTTTAAATCCTCACCCGAGGGTATTTCTCCATTTATGTGTAGGGAGAGGGGGAGGGGAGAGGCAGAGAGAAACGTCGATGGGAGGGACACACAGCCTCCCCATGTGCCTGACCAGGGCCCGGGTCGGTGAGGAGCCCGCCACCGAGGTCCTTGCCCTTGACCGGAATCGAACCCGGGACCCTTCAGTCCGCAGGCCGACGCTCTACCCACTGAGCCACCCCGGCTGGGGCTGCAGAAGGCTTTCTGAGTGTCACCTGGAGCAATCCACAGACGGAGGGGTGACGGTGAGCGGGAGAGCAATCAAGGCGACGGGAAGCCGAGTCACGGGCAGGGGCCACAGAGATCACGTGACCCGGGGCACCGCAGGCGGGCACCGGCTCCGGTCTGGGCGTTCCCTGGACAGTGCCATCGTGCCCGAGGTCTCGCCTGGCAGCCCAGGGCTGCTGCTCAGACAAGAGGCGGCCCCCTGGCCGGCCCGGGACCCACACATGAACGACGGACGGACCTGGGAGAACCTGGAAGCTTCCAGCAGCCCCACTGGGCACCTCGCCACGTGGGGGGCGCGGAGGGCCTGGCACAGACTAACACAAAGACCAACGACGCTGGGGCCGCAGGATGAGGCAGACAGAGGTCTATCTCAGAGCAAACGGTACAGAACAGGGTCTCCTAGGATCCTGAGAAAGGAAGGTTTATCCGACAGGGGGCGATATCCCCGCCCCCCTCTCCTGGGCCCTCCACCTTCCAAGGTCAAGTGCAGTGGCCAAAGGAAGGTGACCGTTAGGGTAAGGCGAGGACGGTCAGCAGAGGAAGGCTTCGGACACGGAACCAGGTCAGCGGTCCCCAGGCACACCGGATTCATGCATGCCACCGAGAGGGCGGCCGGTCGCCCCCGTGTGGCTCAGGGGCTGAGCATCGTCCTAGGAACGGGGAGGTCAGGGTTCGATTCCCAGGCAGGGCACACGCCCGGGTTGCGGGCTCCATCCCCAGTGTGGGGCAGATCCATGATTCTCTGTCATCATGGATGTCTCTCCCTCTCTCTCCCTGCCTTCCTCTCTGAGACCAATAAAAATCAACATAAATAAAAACCTAAGTGACCGTGTGACCATTCCACCAGTAGCTATGATGTGCACTGACCACTGGGGGGCGCGGAGGGACAGACACTTCAACAGGTAGGTTAGCTTGCTGCTGGGGTCTGGCCAATCAGGACTGGGCTAGACGGGCTGGACACGCCCTGGAGCCCTCCCCAGCCGGCCAACCTCCCATGGCCCCTTCCCGGCCCCGATCAGCCCCCATCGGACTGGGGAAATGAGGCCAGAGCCGCCCTGGAGCCCTCCTGCAGTGTACCTCCCCGGTCCCTGCCTGTGCACCAGTGGGGACCTGGATTGCGAGAGGGCACAGGCCAGGCTGAGGACCCCACAGGTGCACGAATCCGTACCCTGGGTCTCTGGTTTATTTTATTGATTTTTTTTTTTTTTTTTACAGAGAAGAAGGGAGAGAGATAGAGTTAGAAACACCATTGAGAGAAAACCATGGATGAGCTGCCTCCTGCACGCCCCCTAACTGGGGATGTGCCTGCAACCAAGGTACATGCCCTTGACCGGAATCGAACCTGGGACCCTTCAGTCTGCAGGCCGATGCTCCTCTATCCACTGAGCCACACCGGTTTCGGCTATATTTCATTTTTAAAAATCTGAAAGCAAAACCCTTCAGAGGCTCCGACTCCTCGGGTCCCCAGCTGACAAGGAGGCACGCGCACGCCACCTCCCCTGGCAGAACCGGCGCCGGTCCATGCTCGCGGCTTCCCCTGCGCTGCAGGAGGAGGGAGATCAGGTTTCCCCGTAAAGACTCCGCCAGATGGAAGAGATCAGAGGGCGAGGAAGGAAAGGCTGACGGCGCGGAACCCTAATTCAATTTCCCCTCGCCGCCCTGTGAGCCGGGCCCGCGGCCGGCGCGGGCTGCCACGGGCGTCCCCAGGAGGGGGCCGGACAAGGGGCCGTTGTGTGCCGAGCCCCTGAGGTCCGTCCGGGCCCATCTCAACCAGCGTCTCCAAACGCCGCCGGGTTGGAGTTAAAGGATGTTAAACTTTCAGTGAACTATTTGCAGCGGGAAATCTATCCCATGCCCTGACCGGTGTGGCTCAGTGGATGGAGCGTCGGCCTATGGACTGAGGGGTCCCGGGTTCGATTCCGGTCAAGGGCATGGACCTTGGTTGCGGGCACATACCCAGTAGGGGGTGTGCAGGAGGCAGCTGATTGATGATTCTCTCTCATCGATGTTTCTAACTCTCTATCCCTCTCCCTTCCTCTCTGTAAACAATCAATAAAATATATTTTAAAAAGAGAGAGAGAAGGGGGTGGGGGAAGGAGCTGGCTCCCGCCAGTACGCCGTGAGGAGGCCAAGCAGCCACCTCGGTTGCAGGCTCCTCCCTGGGCCCTGGTCTGGGTGCTTGCAGGAGGTACCCCGTTGATGTTTCTCTCTGCCTCTCTCCCATCGATGTGTCTCTCTCTCCCATCGATGTTTCTCTCTGCCTCTCCCCCTCCCTTCCTCTCTCTAAAAACCAACAGAAAGAGTGAGATTGACAACAACAGAAAGAACGACCGTAAGTCACACCACGTCACTGGCCTTCGTGCCAACGACTCACATGCACCACGTGACGTCTGAGCACAACGGAAAAAAGACGGATCCTTCCTCCAGAGACCCCGCCGCGGCCGGGGGCGTCGGGCGGCCTGGGAGGGGACGCGGACGCCCGGCAGCACCTACCCAGCACGTTTCCCGGCGGCACCTCCTCCAGGGCCTGCAGCTCCCGTCCCATCAGCAGGTACAGCTGCTCCAGCGTGCAGCATGCCATGTGGGGGACCGCGGGCAGCTCGTCCGGAGGGGCCGAGAAGCCCGCCGGCACCTGGGAGAGAGAGGACGGCGGACGGTAAGTCAGGGAGCATCCGATGGAAACGTCGGTTCATATCAATAAAGTTATAAACGAGATGGGCTGCAGTCACGTTTCACGTACACGTGAAGCATCATGCACATTGGAAACGGGCCTCACGTATTTAAAAAGCCAAACCCTGGCCCTGGCTGGTGTGGCTCAGTGGATAGAGCGTCGGCCTGAGGACTGAGGGGTCCTGGGTTCGATGCTTGTCAAGGGCACATGCCCGGGATACGGGCTTGATCCTTGGCAGGGGGCGTGCGGGAGGCAGCCGATCAATGGTTGTCTTTCATCATTGATGTTTCTCTCTCTCTCTCTCTCCTTCTCCCTTCCTCTTTGAAATCAATAAATGTATTTAAAAATGAATAATCTTACAACCATGAAGGCCAGAACACTGGGCTCACATGCCAGTTCTCACTCCTTAGTTCCCGACGTGCCGCGGAGTGAGACAGGCTTACCGAACGCCGCCCAGGAGACGCGACAGGAGACGCGGAATTCACCTCCGCGTGCCTTCCCGGACACGAGAAACCCATCAGCGAGGGAACCGCCGATCTCGCCCACTTAAGCGACATCAGAGCCTTGCCGGGACTGGTGTGGCTCAGTGGGTAGAGCGTCGGCCTGCGGACTGAAAGGTCCCGGGTTCGATTCCGGTCAAGGGCATGTACTTTGGTTGCGGGCAAATCCCCAGGGGGTGTGTGTGTGTGTGTGCAAGAGGCAGCTGGTCGATGTTTCTCTCTCATTGACGTTTCTAACTCTCTGTCCCTCTCAATTCCTTTCTGTGTAAAATCAATAAAATATATTTTTAAAAAATAATAATAATAAAATAAAAAGACATCAGAGCCTCGAATCGAGAGGCTCGGGTTTGGCTCCCGGCGCTCACCCGCTGCAGGAACTCCACGGGGCTGTACTTGGGCCCCAAGACGAAGATCTTGCTTCCCCTGCGAGCCACGCCGCTGAACACGCGGGCAAACGCCACGAACGTCTCCTGGCCGGTCTCCTGGCCGCCGGCTTCCTGCGGGGCGGGTCTCGGGGTGGCACTCTCCCCCTGCGGCTCACCGCCTGCCGGGAGCAAAGGGGTCGTGAGCGCCAGGCACGCCTTCCGGAGTGCAGGGGACACGGAGGGACGGGGAATAGGATGGGCATCTGGCCCAGTTTCAGGACAGAAACTGCAAGGATAAAAGGACACTGGTGCCCGGCCAGTGTGGCTCAGTGATTGAATGCTGACCTAGGAGCCAGGAAGTCACAGTTCGATTCCCAGTCAGGGCACACGGCCAGGTTGTTGGCTCAATCCCCAGTGTGGGGCGTGCAGAAGGCAGCCGATCCATGACTTTCTCTCATCATGGATGTTTCTCTCCCTCTCTCCCTCCCCCTTCCCTGCCTCTCTGAAATCAATCCTATATAATAAAAGTCCAATATGCAAATCGAACAACCGTGGAATGACAGGCTGCTATGACGAGTACTGACCACCAGGGGGCAGATGCTCAATGCAGGAGCTGCCCCCAGCCCGCAGGCCGCAGCCAGCCAAAGCAGGTGCCAACGGCTCCCCCCTCCCCCGGCCACCAATTCACCCCACCCGTCACCCCACTGATGGGCCCTGATCGCCGGCCAGGCCTAGGGACCCTACTCATGCACGAATTTCAGACATGAGTAGGGTCCCTAGTCATGTACAGACATTTGAGCCTCTGGTAAAAATATACTGGAGAGCCGAAGCCGGTTTGGCTCAGTGGATAGAGCGTCGGCCTGTGGACTGAAAGGTCCCAGGTTCGATTCCGGTCAAGGGCATGTACCTTGGTTGCGGGCACATCCCCGGTGGGGGGTGTGCAAGAGGCAGCTGGTCGATGTTTCTCTCTCATCGATGTTTCTAGCTCTCTATCTCTCTTCCTTTCTCTCTGTTAAAAATCAATAAAATATATTTAAAAAAATATATATACTGGAGAAACAAGTACAGACACTTGACATTGAGAAACAAAATTGTACCAAAGCCCCCAGGGAAAGCTGTACCTTTGGGCTCCTCTCCCTCGGGACTGGTTTCGGGGGTGGTCCCGTCGGCGGCGGGCCCCGCGGGCACCGGGCCCTGCGCTGCGGCGAGCCGCTCCGCGTGCCTCTGTCTGGCCTGCTCGCGCCTCTGCGCAATCTCCTCCTGCGTGAGAGGCCTGCGGGACGGACGTCACACACGTTAACGCTGGCGACACCGAGCGCCTCGCCCGCGGCCCGAGCAGGGGGAACAGCAGCATTCATGTGACGGGACAGGTCGGCCATGGGCCCCGGGCGCCTTCAGATCAGCCCTGACCAGTGTGGCTCAGCGGAGAGAGCATCAGCCTGTGGACTGAAGGGTCCCGGGTTCGATTCTGGTCAAGGGCATGTGGTTACGGCACATCCCCAGTAGCTTGTGTAGCAGGAGGCAACTGATGGATGTTTCTCTCTCATCGATGTTTCTAGCTCTCTCTCCCTCTCCCTTCCTCTCTGTAAAAAATCAATTAAAGAAAAGATCAATAAAAGAAGGCCACCCCGAGTTCCCTCCCCAGCGGCGGCATCGGGGGAGCAGGCCCCTCAGGCTTCCGGGGGGGGGGGGGCGGGGATGCGGGGCCCAGGCACCCTGAGTGCCCAGGGGCCCACAGAGCCCCTCCCCACATCAGCCGGGACCTTTATGGGGAATCCATCCACCCACCGCACATGAGTACACTGTCTCCCTGGCCCTGTGGTCGGCAAATCGCGGCTCGAGAGCCACATGCGGCTCTTTGGCCCTTCGAGTGTGGCTCTCCCACAAAATACCACAGCCTGGCGGAAGCCGGTGTGGCTCAGTGGATAGAAGGTCGGCCTGCGGACTGAAAGGTCCCAGGTTCGATTCCGGTCAAGGGCATGTACCTTGGTTGCAGGCACATTCCCTGGTAGGGGGTGTGCAGGAGGCAGTTGGCTGATGTTTCTCTCTCATTGATGTTTCTAACTCTCCCTCTCTCCCTTCCTCTCTGTAAAAAAATGTATTTTTTTCAAAAAAGAGTACAAAAGTAGTTACAGACAGTAACAAATGCTTGTGGCTGTGTACCAACAAACAAAACAAACAAACAAACAAACAAAAAAATCACAGCCTGGGCAAGTCTCTTTTGAAGAAAAGGCATTAAAAGAAGTTTAAGTTTAGCCGAAACCGGTTTGACTCAGTGGTAGAGCGTTGGTCTGCGGACTGAAGGGTCCCGGGTTCGATTCCGGTCAAGGGCATGTACCTTGGTTGCGGGCACATCCCCGATAGGGGGTGTGCAAGAGGCAGCTGATCGATGATTCTCTCTCATCGATGTTTCTGACTCTCTATCCCTCTCTCTTCCTCTCTGTAAAAAACCAATAAAATATATATTTTTTTAAAAAAAAGATGTTTAAGTTTAAACAATGTGGCGGCTCTCAGAACGAATTTCAGTTATTGTGCTGTGGGCATTTGGCTCTGTGGACTGATGAGTTTGCCGACCACGGCCCCAGCCCAACCCTGGCCCCGGCCTTACCTGGGCCTATTCTGAGGCAAAGCCTTGGCGTCGACGGCAAACATCTTGGACACGAAGATAATAACCGGGTCGGCCTCTTCGCTCCCACATTTCATAAAAGCTAAGCGAGCAGAGAGGGGGCATGTCACTATTTCCCCCCCCCCTTATGAAAGATCCAGATTTTTCTGGAGAACAATTAAGATGTTTTAGCTGCGGCATCATCTAAATATGGACGCAGCCTGTAACCTTTTACGACCACCATAAAAACTCCATTTAGAAAACCATAAAGCTGCCGGAAAAGTGGAAAGAGAAGGAGCAGAGTTGGCAAAAATATGGAGAGAAAAGCAGCATTAACAGGGCAGGGGGAGTGCGGGGGGACTGCTCTGCGGAATATCTCCCAGGACCCAGGGGAGGAGAAGCAGGATCGAGGGGCGCGACCAGAGGCCAGCAGCCAGCACGGAGCTTGTGGATGAAACACATAAAAACCAATAGATCAGCCCAGGCCGGTGTGGCTCAGTGGATAGAGCATCAGCCTGCAGACTGAAGGGTCCCGGGTTCGATTCTGGTCAAGGGCGTGTGCCTTGGTTGCAGGCACATCCCCAGTGGGGGTTGTGCAGGAGGCAGCTCATTGATGTTTCTCTCTCCCTCTCCCTCTCTGAAATAAAATATGTATGTATTTCTATTGAAGAATGAGGGTGCGCGCATGCTCCCCTGCCCCTCACCTGCTTTCAGCGCCTGGGTTTCCGGGGGGAGCGAGTCGAAGGTCTGGGACCCCGAGCACATGAGCTTCTCCACCCTCTCGGGTGTCATGTCCAGCGGGCTGGGGAGTTTCTGACACACCATGGCTGAGGGCTGCTGTTAAGGACTCAAACAGCGGCGGAAAGCACAAGTATATTGAAGAAACAAGTACAGACATTTGATATTAAAAACAAAACAAAACAAAACTGGCACCAAAGCTCCAAGGATGAAACCACAACATGCACCAAATCCCGAGGCAACAAGGTATGAGCCGTGGCCAGCTGGAACGTGGATGGCCTGCAGACGGAAGGGTCCCGGGTTTGATTCCGGTCAAGGGCATGTACCTCGGTGGCAGGCTCCTCCCTGGCCCGGGGCCCTGGTCTGGGGGCGTGCAGGAGGCAATCGATTCGTTAGTTTCTCTCACATCGATGTTTCTCTCTCTCTCTCTCTCTCTCTCTCTCTGTGTCTCTCTTTCTCTCTCTCTTAAGAATCGATGGAAAAATATCCTCGGGTGAGGATCACCAAAAAGAAAAAGAAAGACATTAAATTCATCTATAAAATTACTTCAGTGCCGTAGCTGGTGTGGCACAGTGGATAGAGCGTCGGTCTGTGGACTGAAGGGTCCCAGGTTAGATTCGGCTGACCGATGTTTCTCTCTCATGGATCTTTCTAATTTTCTCTCCCTTCCTCTCTGTAAAAAAGTCAATAAAATGTATTTTAAAAATAAAAAAAATAAAATTGCGTCAGTTAATGTACGCCACTTTATAACAAAGTCTTTTTGGAATTAAGAACATAAGAAATATCAAACACTAAAGGAAATATGATACAAAGTAAAACAGTGACCTAAAACTTCTAAATTATCTACTTACACGTAAATTTTAGTAAAAAGAAAAATGTCTATGTTAATTACTAAACAAAAATAAAAAAGGAGTATCTTCTTAGAAGAACATACATTTAGATTGGTATTAGAATGATAATTTTTAAAAACATATTTTATTGATTTTTTTTACAGAGAGGAAGGAAAAGGGATAGAGAGAGACATCGATGAGAAACATCAATCAGCTGCCTCCTGCACACCCCCTATTGGGGATGTGCCCGCAACCAAGGTCCATGCCCTTGATTGGAATCCAATCCGGGACTTTTCAGTCCGCAGGCCGACGCTCCATCCACTGAGCCACACCGGTCAGGGCAGTATAATAATTTTTAAATAGTTTCATGGAACACTAAGAAAAGAGCACAGAAAGCTTCATTTGGGTTGGAGTGCGTTATTTCCAGAGGATTTCTTGGTGGCAAATAACTCCCCCCCCCCCCCCCCATTTTGTCAGAATGATGATTCCCGTAAAAACCACGAGACTGAAGGATACCAAGCACGGCCTGGGAGACGGGCAGCCACTGGCTACAGATGGCGCTGATCTGGACCTTGGGGTCCGAGTGCCGCGCCTCCCGGGCCCCGATCTTCAGTCCTAAGGAGGCGACGATCTTGTCAATCTTCTCTTTGTCCCTGCAGCAGACACAGAGCGAGGCTGGGAGGTCACACACGGGAGAGGGAGCTCCATGTTACCTGACCACGTTATTCCTCCGGCACGGCTCTCTCCCCCAGCCACGGAAAACCACTGCACGGGCTCCCTGCCCGTCCCCTTCGGAAGGAGCCTCTCTCTCACCCTGCCGCCCCGGACCACAGCCTCAAGCCTGACGCACAGTGACCTCCATCTTGTATAAAAAACTGCTGCACGGCACTCTCTGCTGTTAGATAGTCCCCAGTCCGGTAAACTCTGCCATTATAAACTCTGTCACTTTAAGACGGTCTGTGATGCTGTGAAATGTCTTTGTTTTCAGTTCAAATAATAGAAAAAGATAAACGTAACTGTCTGACCTTCCAAGCTAGCCATCCGATGTAACAGACCAGTGGTCGGCAAACCGCAGCTGTCAATATAATAAAAGCCTAGGCGGCTGCCACAGGATGCTGTGTGCACAGCAGAGGCAGGGCCCGGCGGCCACTCCACGTGGTGAGGCTTGGGGGTTCCACGGCTCTGCGTGGCACGGAGGAGGCAGATCACAGAAGGGGAGGGTAGCTGTGGGCGATCGGGCCGGCAAGGGAGGGAACTGGAGGACTATCAGGCCTGCAGGAGGGCAGTTGGGGGCCAACAGGTTGGCAGGGAAGCAGTTAGGTGTCAATCAGGCTGGCAGGGGAGCAGTTAGGGGGGCGATCAGGCTGGCAGGCAGAAGCGATTGGGGGTGATCAGGCTGGCAGGCAGAAGCAGTTAGGGGGCAATCAGGCTGGCAGGCAGAAGCAGTTGTCAATCAGGCTGGCAGGGGAGCAGTTAGGGGGAAATCAGGCTGGCAGGCAGAAGTGGTTAGGGGCAGGCAGGCAGGCAGGCGAGAGGTTAGGAGCCAGAGGCATTCCAGATTGGAGAGGGTGCAGGCTGTGTTGAGGGACACCTCACTCCTCTCCCCCCACCCCGCTATGCACAAATTTCATGCACCGAGCCTCTGGTAAAACGATAAAGGTCAATATGTTTCTCTCCCTCCTTTCATCCCTTCCCCCCCAGCGTCTATGACACACTTCTCCCCGTCCCTCCTGCTACGCTTCACATGGGTCACACGTGCTCCAGGAAATCGCCACCCAGCCCTGTCATCGGCTCATCCGTGAGAGCTCTCTTCACCTGCCCCGTCTCTCTCAGCTTCCCCAAGGAGGACTCATCCAATCGCAAACGGAGGCACATTACACCTGCCCAAAGCCAACAGCTCTGCAAGTCTTACTTTTTCAAGACAGCGTCGTACAAACTCCATATGTTCTCCAGGATCAGCTGTACGAATAACGGCTTCCTTCCTTTCGCCTGTAATCAACAATGAACACGCTTAGGTTTCTGAGTATTTCATAGGGATCTTAAAAACTCATTGTTCACTTTTTTTTTTTTTTTAAATATATTTTATTGATTTTGTACAGAGAGGAAGAGAGAGGGATAGAGAGTTAGAAACATCGATGAGAGTCATCAATCAGCTGCCTCTTGCACACCCCCTACTGGGGATATGCCCGCAACCAAGGCACATGCCCTTGACCGGAATCGAACCCGGGTCCCTTCAGTCCCCAAGCCGACGCTCTATCCATTGAGCCACACCGGTTTCGGCTGTTTACTTTTGTTGTTGTTGGTAATCGTCACCTGAGGATATTTTTCCTTTTTTAAATTTTTAAAAAATTTATTCTTATGAGAAATTGGAAGGGAAGGGGAAAGATGGGGGAGAAACATCGATGTGAGAGTCACATCAATCCGTGACCTCCCACAGGCACCTCGACCAGGGCCAGGGATAGAGGAGGCCGCCAAGGTACGTGCCCTGGACCGGAATTGAACTCGGAACCCCTCAGTCCTCAGGCCGACACTCTACCCACTGAGCCAAACCGGTTAGGGCCACACAGTGGGGTATTGTGCTTCATAATAATATCAAGCGAAAAAGGAGCTGCCTTACGTAGACTATGTAATCTCAGCTGAGGGATGGAGAGATCTAGTCAGAAAGAATATAGGAGCCCTGGCTGGTGTGGCTCAGTGGATAGAGCATCAGCCTGCAGTCTAAAGGGTCTCGGGTTTGATTCTGATCAAGGGCACATACCTCGGTTACAGGATCCTCCCCGGACCAGGCCCTGGTCAGGGCTCATGCAGGTGGCAACCCATCGCTGTGTTCCTCTCACACCTATCTCTCTCTCTCGGTCTCCCTCTCTCTTTCACTCTCTCTAACAATGTCCTTGGTTTTGAGAACTAAAAACTATAACAACAACAACAAAAAACAACAAAAGGGGCAGAACCCCCCGCCCCCCCCCCATTACCTGATCCACCTTCATGATCCTCTTGGCTTTCATATTGATGTAATAATCTCCCCACAATGTTTTCAGAAGAACTTCCTTCTTTATGCCGATTTTCTGACTGTAGATTTGGGCAAAGTGCTCAATCCTGGGGGAAAAAAAAAAAAAAAAAAAAAAAAAAAAAAGCAAGTGTGTTATTAGTAACGCGGATAAGAGTGACCACCGCTAACACTTGGGTTTTCCCTGCCAGGTACCGTTCTACCCAAAGTGTTTCGATTGCATCCCTCACGGCCATCTTTCCCCTCTCCCACGAGGCCGGCACTGACTGTCTCCCCTCTTCACAGGAGGGACCAAGGGGCAGACACACGACACAGGTCACGCGTGACGCTGGGATGCAAGCCGAGCCGGCTGGCTCCAGTGCCCGTGTTCCTGTCCCCACCTCTCCCCCTCCACGTGAAGGGAATCCAGACTATGGCTCCTTTTTTAAATCCTCATCTGAGGATACGTTCTTACGGATTTTATTGAGAGAGAGACAAAGGGAGGGAAGGAGAGGGTGAGGAAGGGAGGAAGGAGAGAGAAAAAGAGACAGAAACATCAATTGGTTGCCCAGTGTGGCTGCTACTTCGGGGAACAGTAAAAAGAGAATCGGTTTTCTTTCTTACAACTGTGGTGCATCTACAATTCTCTCAAAACATAAAGTCGCTGAGACCGGTTTGGCTCAATGGATAGAGCGTCGGCTTGGGGACTGAAGGGTCCCGGGTTCGATTCCGGTCAAGGGCATGTACCTTGGTTGTGGGCACATCCCCAGTAGGGGGTGTGCAAGAGGCAGCTGATCGATGACTCTCTCATTGATGTTTCTAACTCTCTCTCTCTCTTTCTCTCTGTACAAAATCAATAAAAATATATATATTTTTTAAAAAAGCAACAACATAAAGTCCCATTTAAAATATCAGCTGTGTAGCCTGGTGTGGCTCAGTGGCTGAGCATCGACCTAGGAACCAGGAGGTCCCAGGTTCGATTCCCGGGCAGAGCACATGCACAGGTTGTAGGCTCGATCCCCAGTGTAGGGTGTGCAGGAGGCAACCAATCCATGATTCTCTCTTCTCATAGATATTTCTCTCTCTCTCTCCCTTCCTTGCTGCCATTGATGAAAAATAAAAAGTAAAACAAAATATATACACTGAGTGGCCAGATTCTGATGATCTCTGAACGCATAATAACCTGGCCGCTCAGTGTACATTCTATATCATGAAAGGCTAATATGCAAATTAAGAGAAGGTTGGAATGACCGGTCGCTATGATGCGCACTGACCACCCAACAGAGGAGCTGCCCCCTGGTGGTCAGCGGGCTCCCACAGGGGGAACGTTGCTCAGCCAGAAGCAGGGCCCATGGCTGGCGGGCGCAGCGGGGGGCGGCGGGACTCTCTCTCACCTCTGTGGCAGTGCGAAGGATTCCTCAGGGGATGTCCATCGCAGGAAGGTGCAGGCTGGGCTGAGGGACCCCCCGCCCGAGGGCATAAATATCGTGCACCACAGGAGCCCTGGCTGGTGTGGCTCAGTGGATAGAGCATCAGCCTGCAGACCGAAGGGTCTCGGGTTCGATTCTGATCAAGGGCACATACCCCGGTTACAGGCTCCTCCCGGGACCAGGCCCTGGTCAGGGCTCACGCAGGAGGCAACCCATGGCTGTGTTCCTCTAGTGTGTGTGTGTGTACATGTATATGAATTTGTGCATGGGTGGGGTCCAGCCAGCCTGGCCAGGGGGAGGGGTCATAGGGGGTTGGCCGGCCTGCCTGCTGGTCAGACTCCTGGTCGAGGGGACCATGTGCATATGAGCCTTTTATTCTATAGGACAGACACTGAGTGGCCAGATTATTATGCGTTCAGAGATCAACATCATCTGTCCACTTGGTGTATGTGTATGTATATATATTAGAGGCCCAGTGCATGCATTCGTGCATGGGTGGGGTCCGGCCAGCCTGGCCAGGGGGAGGGGACAGGGGCGGTTGGCCGGCCGGCCAGCCAGCTGGTCGGACTCCTGGTCGAGGGAACCATGTGCACATGAGCCTTTTATTCTATAGGACAGACACGGAGTGGCCGGATGATTATGTGCTCACAGCTCATCCTATTCTGGCCACTCGGTGTGTGTCAGCGGTGCCTGAGCCCCGGCGAGGCCGGACCGGGGGGACGCTCACCCGAAGCCCCAGCCGTCGATGGCGCTGGTGAAGACCACGTTGCCCTGGTCCGGGGAGAAGTACAGGTGGGAGTCGTCCGTGTCCTCCAGGCCCGCGCTCCAGTCGTACACCTGCTCGGCCGGGCCGGCCCCCGGCGCCCCGTGGGCCTCGCTCTCTCTCTCCGCTCTCTCCTCTAGGACTTTGGAAGTAAAAAGAGTTCCCGTGAGCGCATTGATCTAGGAGAGATGGTGAGACGGCAGCGTGTCAATCGGGTGCGTGGTGCCCAGGGCGGGAGACCCCGTGACTAAGTAGTGGCTACGCCTACAACCATCTGTCAGCCGCCGCCTGGGCTCCCGGACAAGGTGGCATTGACGACGATAAACCATTCCGTTTTACTGACCGGTTCTTTCTGACCCAGCAGGGCTAGGCTGTAAGACTTCTGGATGTCATTCTTTTTTAATTTATATTTTACTGATTTTTTTTTTTACAGAAAGGAAGGGAGAGGATAGAGCCGTGGTCGGCAAACTGGCATCCTCATGAGTCACATGCAGCTAGCAAGCTGCGGTTTGTGCTCTGTTGATGAATGAGTTTGTCGACCAATGGGACAGAGAGTTAGAAACATCCATGAGAGAGAAATATCCTTGGTTTGGGCACATCCCCAGTAGGGGGAGTGCAGGAGGCAGCTGATGGATGTTTCTCTCTCAGCGATGTTTTTAACTCTCCCTCTCCCTTGTTCTCTGTGATAAATGAATAAAATATATTTTTTTAAAAGCACGGCCTCACCTGGCATCTCGGGTCACACCAGGGCTCATCTCATCGATCTCCCAATAGCCCTTGTACCCGTCCGTCTGCCCTCCACACCGGGAGACCTCTGAAAACAGGGACTGACTCCGACCAGTCTGTCCTTGCATACACCATCTCTAGCATCCAAGAATTCATTTATTCGACATATATATATGTATGTGTATATATATATATATACATATATATACGTACACACATACATACATATATATATATATATATATATATATATATATATATATATATATATACATATATATATAAAAGCCTACGCAACAGTTCAACTGGCAGTTATGACGTGCCCTGACCACCGGGAGGCAGACGCTCAACGCACAGAATCGTGCACCGGTGGGGTCCCTCGGCCTGGCCTGCAGGGATCAGGCCGAAACCGAGGCAGTCAGACATCCCCCAAGGGGCCCCGGATTGCGAGAGGGCGCAGGCCAGGCTGAGAGACCCCGCCAGTGCACGAATCTGTGCACCAGGCCGCCGGTCTATAACAATAAAAAGTATAATATGCCAATTAGCCCGGATGGCCTTCGGGACGAAGCCCAGGCTGCGAGGGAAGCCGGGGGCCCGGTGCCAGAGGGCAGCTGGTGCCGGCCGCCGGGGAAGGCAGGCCTGCTGTCGCTCGGATTCCCCACAGCGAGCCTCACGTCTGACCGCGTCAAGTCTGATGGATAAGATGAATGAACGCTTGAGAGCCATTTCTTCTCAACATGGCTCATCACAAAACCACACGGCCTCCTAACATCGCCTCCCCGGGGAACCAGAACTACAGGGTTTCAAACAAGACAGCACGGAAACCTACTGTCCGAGCCTTGTGCGTGAGGGCACGTTGGGCGGGCGGGGACCCCGAGAGGAGGCGTGTGCCGCGGACGGCTGCGGTCTGATGATTCCAGGGCGTGGGACTCGTGAGGGGGAGAGGAAGGAAAGTCTAAGGAAGTGAATGTCCCAGAGCCGCGCCTCAGACTCCACAGGGGAACGTCCTTACAACTCTCCCTCCAGCCCCGATTTTTATTTTATTTATTGAACAAATATATTTTATTGATTTTTCACAGAGAGGAAGAGAGAGGGATAGAGTTAGAAACATCGATGAGAGAGAGCCATCGATCAGCTGCCTCTTGCACACCCCCCGCACTGGGGATGTGCCCGCAACCAAGGTCCGTGCCCTTGACCGGAATCGAACCCGGGACCCTTCCCTCCACAGGCCGATGCTCCGTCTGTGGAGCCACACCGGTCCTGGCTTGAGCCCTGATTGTTAAGTTACCACAGTAGAAAGGATGCGATACCTGTTCCAAGATGTTCTTGAGGTGGGAGTAGGCCTCCTGCGGGGTGAACTTCAGCTCCACGATCAGGCGATCGATCTTATTGATCACCAGCACGGGCCGGATGTTTTCGAGCCAGGCCTGGCGCAGAACGGCCTGCGTCTGGTGGGAACGGAACGGAAAAGGGAAAACTCGTGACTGGGACTCGTTAAAGCACATTAAAGAAATCCCGATTGATAATCAGCTCATTCCTCCCCCCCCCCCCCCATGGCTGGTTTGGCTCAGTGGGTAGAGCAATGGCCTGCGGACTGAAGGGTCCCAGGTTCGATTCCAGTCAGGGCACATGACCGGGTTGTGGGCTGGATGCCCAGTAGGAGGCGTGCAGGAGGCAGCCGGTCAGTGATTCTCTGTCATCATTGGTATTTCTCTCTCTCTTTCTTCCTCTCCCTTCTCCCTGAAATCAATACAAATTTGTATAAATAATAATACAAAAAAGAAATAATAACTAGCCTTGACCCCTGTGGCTCAGTGGATAGAGCGTCGGCCTGCGGACTGAAAGGTCCCGGGTTCGATTCCGGTCAAGGGCATGTATCTTGGTTGAGGGCAAATCCCCAGTAGGAGGCGTGCAGGAGGCAGCTGATGGATGACTCTCTCTCATCGATGTTTCTTACTCTCTATCCCTCTCCCTTCCGCTCTGTAAAAAAAAAATCAATAACATATATATTTTTTTTAAATAAATCTGAAGTTAAAGTCATCCTAAAAACTTAGGTAACACCATCACAGACTGCAATGTTATCAAATATAAAATGTAAAACCAGTGATTGTCAGTGAAATTTGTTTTTTAAATATATTTTATTGATTTTTTACAGAGAGGAAGGGAGGGGGGGAGAGAGAGAGAGAGAGAGAGAGAGAGAGAGAGAGAGAGAGAGTTAGAAATGTCAATGAGAGAGAAACATCGACCAGCTGCCTCCTGCACACCCCCCACCGGGGATGTGCCCACAACCAACGCACATGCCCTTGACCGGAATCGAACCTGGGACCCTTCAGACACTCTACCCACTGAGCCAAATCGGTTTCGGCTCTTTCTTTTCTTTTTCTTTTTTTTCAAAGAATATATTTTTATTGCTTTCAAAGAAGAAGGAGAGAGAGAGAAGCATCCATGATGAGAGAGAATCGTGGATCGACTGCCTCCTGCACGCCCCACACTGGGAATCCAGCCCGCAACCCGGGCCTGTGCCGTTGACCGGTATTGAACCCGGGACCCTCCAGCCCGCAGGCGGACGCTCTGTCCACGGGGCCGCGCCGGCCGGGGCTGTCAGTGAAGTGCCTACGTGCACACGGCCACGCACAGGCAGCTCCTCTCCCCGCCTCCCTCCCCGGCTGCCTGTGTCTGCGCCGCCGCCCCGTACCTGCGGGCAGACACCCTCCACGGCGTCCACCACGATGATGCACCCGTCGCAGAGGCGCACGGCCGTGGACACCTCGGAGGAGAAGTCCACGTGCCCCGGGGAGTCGATGAGGTTGATGAGGTATTCCTCGGCACCTGGAGCGGAACGGGAGGGAGGACGGACGGACGGACGCCGTCAGCCGTGCGGGTACACAGCCGCGCTGCCTCGAGGCTCCCCCGCAACTGCTGGCGCCAAACAGCGTCTGCATAATACATTCGGACTCGCCCTGGCTGGGTAGCTCAGTGGTTAGAGCGTCGGCCATGTGCGCGAAGGGCTGTAAGCTCTTTTTTTTTAATTTATTTTTTTAAATACATTTTTACTAGAGGGGGCCAGTGCGCAGATTCGTGCACGGGTGGGGTGCCTGGCCGGCGATTGGGGCTGATGGGTGCCATCTTGCCCAATGCTGACGGGGGGGGGGGGGGGGGGGGTGTGGTGATTGGGGGCTGGCTGCTAGGGTGGTACCGTGGGAGGTTGGCCGGCCGGGGAGGTACCACAAGAGGGTTCCAGGGGGTGTCCAGCCTGCCTTACCCAGTCCTGATGGGCCGGACCCCAGCAGCAAGCTAACCTACTGGTTGGAGCATCTGCCCCCCCGCCCTGGTGGTCAGTGAGTGTCATAGCGACTGGTGGAACGGTCGAACAATCAAATGAAGGGTCGGACACTTAGCGTATTACGCTTTTATAACATAGGGTTGATTTCAGAGAGAAAAGGAGAGGAAGAGAGGAACATCAATGAGAGAGAATCATTAATCTGACAGCCTCCTATATGCCTCCTACAGGGCTCAGTGGATAGAGCATCGGCCTGGAGGCTGAAGGGTCCCAGGTTTGTTTTGTTTTTTAAATATATTTTATTGATTTTTTACAGAGAGGAAGGGAGAGGGATAGAGAGCTAGAAACATCGATGAGAGAAACATCGACCAGCTGCCTCTTGCACACCCCCCATCGGGGATGTGCCTGCAACCAATGTACATGTCCCTGACCGGAATCGAACCTGGGACACTTCAGTCCACAGACTGACTCTCTACCACTGAGCCACACCGGTTTCGGCCCGGGTTCTCTTCCGGTCAAGGGGCACATGCCTGGGTTGCAAGGGGCACATGCCTGGGTTGATCTCCAGTAGGGGGCGTGCAGGAGGCAACTGATCCATGATTCTCTCACATCGTGATGTTTCTCCCTCCCTCTCTCCCTCTCCTTTCCTCTCTGACATCAATAAAAATACATTAAAGGACCTGTCAGAATGGCCAACATCAACGAATCAACAAACAACAAGTGCTGGCGAGGTTGCGGAGAAAAAGGCACCCTTGTGCACTGCTGGTGGGAATGCAGACTGGTGCAACCACTGTGGAGAACAGTGTGGAGCTTCCTCAAAAACTGAAAATGGAACTCCCATTTGCCCCAGTAATCCCACTCCTAGGAATATATCCCAAGAAAACAGAAACACCAATCAGAAAGGATATATGCACCCCTATGTTCATAGCAGCACAATCTACAATAGCTAGAATCTGGAAACAGCCTAGGTGCCCGTCAGCAAATGACTTGATCAGAAAACTATGGTACATCTACACAATGGAATATTACACAGCCATAAAAAAGAAAAAATTCTCATCATTTCCAGCAACCTGGATAGAATTGGAGAACATCATGCTGAGTGAAACAAGCCAGTCGATGAAAGAGAGACACCACATAACCTCACTTATTTATGGATGATAAACGACATTATAAACTGAAGAACCAAAAGATATTATAGATACAGAGACAGTAAAGCAACAAGCAGACTGTCCAATGACAGCGGGGAGGTTGGGAAGATCTGGGGGAGGTAAGAGATCCACCGAAGGACTTGTATACATGCATCTAAGCACAACCAATGGACACAAAACTCTGAGCAGGGAGGGTATGTACGGGGGGGGGGGGGGGGACATTGGTATATGTACAAAAATAATAATTTAATAAAAAAAAATATATTATAAAAAAAATACATTAAAGGGGAAAAAAGGGAGAGACGGCCTTACCCTGTGCGTAGTGCAGGGAGATGGCGCTGGACTTCATGGTGATGCCTCGTACCTGCTCGTCCTCTCGGCTGTCCATGTACCGCAGCTGTACATGGGGACAGAACACAGGCGCCCTCACTCCCCACCGGACCGACACGTCACGGTCAGGCGGGATTATGAAGACTTTGGTGTTAGGTGCTTACTTTTTTTTATTTTTTATTTTATTCATTTTTACATTTTTTATTTTATTTTTAAATATATTTTATTGATTTTTTTACAGAGAGGAAGGGAGAGAGACAGAGAGCTAGAAACGTCGATGAGAGAGAAACATCGACTAGCTGCCTCTTGCACACCCCCCACTGGGGATGTGCCCACAACCAAGGTCCATGCCCTTGACCGGAATCGAACCCGGGACCTTTCAGTCCGCAGGCCGACGCTCTACCCACTGAGCCACACCGTTTTCGGCACATTTTTTATTTATTGATTCCCGTCAGGGGCTTGTCCCTCAGTTGCAGGCTCAATCCCTGGCCCCGTTGGGGGCGCAACTGAGAGGCAACCAATCAACAAAGTCTCTGTCACATGGATGTTTCTCTCTGTGTCTCTCCCCCTCCCTTCCACTCTCTCTAAAAATCAATGGGAAGCCGAAATCGGTTTGGCTCAGTGGATAGAGCGTCGGCCTGCGGACTGAAGGGTCCCAGGTTCGATTCCGGTCAAGGGCATGTACTTTGGTTGCGGGCACATCCCCGATAGGGGGTGTGCAGGAGGCAGCTGGTCGATGTTTCTCTCTCATCCATGTTTCTAGCTCTCTATCCCTCTCCCTTCCTCTCTGTAAAAAAAATAATAAAATAAAAAATAAATAAAAATAATAAAAACCAATGGGAAAAATATCCTCGGGTGAGGATGAACCAAAATCAACACCAATACCCTAACCCAAGGGGCGGCAAACTCACTAGTCCGCAGAGCTAACCATCAACAGGACAACGACTGGCATGTCTTTGGAGAGCCACATGTTTTAAACTTAAACTTCTTCCAATGCCACTTCTTCAACACAGACTCGCCCAGGCCGTTGGGATTTTTGTTGTTGTTGTTGTTTTTTGCTTTTCCCCATCAAACCACCCAACTCAGCTGCCTGGGGGGAGTCTCTCTGTCTGGAAAATGGCCACACGGGGCCAGGGTATGGGCTGACGTGTGGTGCTTACGGGACCGCTGAGCGCACAGCAGAGGATTCACCGCACGGCAGAGGGCTCATGCTCGCTAACAGGCAACACGTGCCCATCGACTACCATGACATACCTTGCCTGCCAGGCGGCTGGAGATGATCCCGTTGCTGGATATGAGGCAGTCGGCCAGGGTCGTTTTGCCTGTTGAAGTAACAACATTCATTTCAACCTACGTACTGATTTTTAATTTATGGTTGCAGGCACATCCCCGGTAGGGGTTGGGCAAGAGGCAGCTAATCAATATTTCTTTCTCATCGATGTTTCTAACTCTCTATCCCTCTCCCTTCCTCTCTGTAAAAAATCAATAAAATATATATTTTTAAAAAAAATAATAAAATAGCCGAAACCGGTTTGGCTCAGTGGTAGAGTGTCGGTCTGGGGACTGAAAGGTCCCGGGTTCGATTCCGGTGCAGGGCATGTACGTTGGTTGCAGGCACATCCCCAGTGGGGGGTGTGCAGGAGGCAGCTGGTCGATGTTTCTCTCTCATCGGCATTTCTAGCTCTCTATCCGTCTCCCTTCCTCTCTGTAAAAAATCAATAAAAATATATTTTAAAAAAGTAATAATAATAAAATAAATCAATGGAAAAAATATCCTCAGATGAGAGTGAAAGAAAACAAACAAAAAACAATAAAATCATCTGACATCCGTTACCGTGACAACGACGACTCTCAATGCAAACCCTTCACAGATCAGGACAACCCCTTGTACAATAAATCATTTTTTTTTCTCTTTCTGAACGTGGCACTGGGCAATTTCAAGCATCCTGCACAGTTTTAACATTCAAGTGTTTTTGTTTGTTTGTTTTAATATATTTTATTGATTTTTTTTACAGAAAGGAAGAGAGAGTTAGAAACATCGATGAGAGAGAATGATGGATCAGCTGCCTCTTGCACACCCCCTACTGGGGATGTGGCCGCAACCAAGGTCCATGCCCTTGACTGGAATCGAACCCGGGACCTTTTAGTCCGCAGGCCGACGCTCTATCCACTGAGCCAGACCGGGCAACACTCAAGTTTTAACACTCAAATTCTCATTTAGAAAACAAGGCAACAGGCCAGCTGCCTTTATTTGCAAAGTTTCACCAAGTGAGTCTCAGACATCAAAGGCCGGAAGTTCCGCCCCTCACCCCAAGGACACCCCGGGGGATTGGGGGGCGGACCCTGCCTCCCAGGCCCCAGACCGACCCGGACCCGGACCGAACAGGCACCCTGGCTGCTCCTCACCGTGGTCCACGTGCGCCAACACGCAGATGTTCCTGATGTTCGCAGGGTTCCGCTGCAGCTGCACCATCTTCTCCAAGCTATTGGGCACCATGGCTGCCTGAAGGGAGAGGGCACAGGGACTGATGCCAGGGGGCGCCTTTAGCCCCAGGGCTGGGCGTTCAAATCATTAAAATAAAATAAAATAAAATGTAATAAAATAAATAATAAATTAAAATAAATAAAATAATAAACAAGTAAAATCAGTTAAAATAAAATAAATAAAATAAAAAATAGAATAAGCAAAATAAAATAATAAACAAGTAAAATAAGTTAAAATAAATAAAAAATAAAATGAATAAAATAAAAAATAAAATAAACAAAATAAAATAATAAACAAGTAAAATAAGTTAAAATAAAATAGGTTAAAATAAAATAAAAAATAAAATAAAAATAAAGTAAAGTAAAGTAAAATAGATACAATAAAATAATAAAAAGTAAAGTAAAATAAAATTTAAAATGAAATAATAAAATAAAATCGCTGGGAGAGGTGCGGACGGGACAGCTCGGGTGCCGCACCCCGGAAGTCGATGGAAGTTCCCGGGAGAAGGGACACCGCACCCACCGCGGCCCAAGTCCGGGCGCCGCCCTGACGCGCACACCTGCCCGACCCGGCGCGGGGGCGGCACCTGCCGGACCCGGCGTGGGGGCGGCTCCGAGGCACCCCGGGGCGCTGGGTGGGGGGTGCTGGGTGCGGGGTGCACGGAGGGGACCCCGGGGCGCTGGGTGGGGGGTGCGGGGTGCACGGAGGGGACCCCGGGGCGCTGGGTGGGGGGTGCGGGGTGCACGGAGGGGACCCCGGGGCGCTGGGGGGGGGGTGCTGGGTGCGGGGTGCACGGAGGGGACCCCGGGGCGCCCCCCAACGCCGCCTGCCCGCCCCACACGCACCCCGCACGCGCTCCCGGGGGAAACGCCCGCGGCCGGGCCGGCCCACGGCGCCCGAGGGGAGTTTGGGGCCCCGCGCCCCCTTCCCCTCCGCGGAGGGAGCGCCCCAAGTCTCCGCCCCCTTCGCCTCAGCGCGTGGGAACCGGGCCCCCGCGGGGGAGCGGCCCGTCCCCTCCCGTCGCCCCGGTCCCCCCGCCCTCCTTCCCCCGCCCGCCCGCCGCGGGGGACCCCGAAGCCCGGCGCGGGGGGCGCGCCCACCTGTTCGGAACCCTCGCCGGGTCGCACACGCGCGTCCGAGGCGCCCGGAGCTCCGCGGGGGCACTGCGCCTGCGCGTGCGGCGGCGCGGGGCGGGGCTTGGGGACACGCTACGAAGGCCCCGCGCGCGCTGACGTCACCGCGTCCGTCTCCCGGGCGCCCGCGTTGCCTGGGCGACGGCAGGCGCGTCGGAACTAGGGCAGCGGCAGCCCGGAGGCCGGCGCAGTGGACCCGGCGGGCGGAGAGCATGCGGAGCTGGTGCCTGTGTCAGATCTGCACGTGCGGGTGAGCGGCGGCCCGGGCGGGTTTACACGCGATTTATTTTTTATTTTTATTTTATTTTTTTAAATTATTTTTTTAAATATGTTTTATTGATTTTGTACAGAGAGGAAGGGAGAGAGAGAGCTAGAAACATCCATGAGAGAGAGTTATCGATCAGCCGCCTCTGCACACCCCCTACTGGGGATGTGCCCGCAACCAAGGTCCATGCCCTTGGCCGGAATCGAACCCGGGACCTTTCAGCCTGCAGGCCGACGCTCTATCCACTGAGCCACACCAGTTTCGGCTATTTATTATTTTTTTAAAATATATTTTATATTGCATATAAGCAAAACCAGTGGATGAAAACCTCTGGGGGCGCCGAAACCGGTGTGGCTCAGTGGATAGAGCGTCGGCCTGCAGGCTGAAAGGTCCCGGGTTCGATTCCGGTCAAAGGCATGTACCTTGGTTGCGGGCACATCCCAGTGTGGGAGGTGTGTGTGTGTGCAAAAGGCAGCTGATTGAGGACACTCTCTCATCGATGTTTCTAGCTCTCTATTCCTCTCTGTAAAAAATCAGTAAAATATATTTAAAAGAAAAAAGAAAAACTCTGGGGGGTGAGGGCATGTATGGATGTGGGGGTGGGCAATGGAAAGGTATAATACCTTAATAAGAAAATAAATTTAAAAAATAAAAATAAAATTTATTTTATTGATTGTTTACAGAGAGGATGGAAGAGAGCTAGAGAGCTAGAAACATTGATGAGAGAGAATCATCGATCAGCTGCCTCTTGCACACCCCCTATTGGGGATTGAGCCCACAACCCCAGGCTTGTGCCCTTGGCTGGAATTGAACCTGGGACCCTTCAGTCCGCATGTGGAGGCTCTATCCACTGATACCGTTTTCGGCACATTTTTTTTTTAATTATAAGGGAAGGAAAAGAAAGATCGAGAAAATGGAATAGAACAGATCGGTGTGCAATTTTTTTTTCTTTATATATTTTTACTAGCGGCCCGATGAACGAAATTTGTGCGAGAGTAGGCCTTCCTTCCCTCTGCTGCTGGCACCAGCTTCCCTCCAGCACCCGGGACCCAGGCTGGCTTCCCTTGGGCCACCTGCAGGCACCCTGGACCCTGCAGCTTCCCTCCAGCCCCTGCTTCCTCAGGAAGGACGTCCGGTCTAATTAGCATATTACCCTTTTATTTATTTTTATTTTTTAAATATATTTTATTGATTTTTTTTTACAGAGGGGAAGAGAGAGGGAGAGAGAGTTAGAAACATTGATGAGAGGGAATCATCGACCAGCTGCCTCTTGCACACCCCCTACTGGGATTATGCCTGCAACCAAGGTACATGCCCTTGACAGGAATCGAACCTGGGACCTATCCACTGAGCCAAACTGGTCTCGGCAGCATATGACCCTTTTATTATTATGGATTGATTTCAGAGAGGAAGGGAGAGAGAGATCAAAACATCCGTGATGAGAGAGAGTCACGGATCGGCTGCCTCCTGCATGCCCCATACTGGGGAATCGAGTCTGTAACCCTGACCCGGACCCTGACCTGAATCTAAGGGTGACCTCCTGGTTGCTAGGTAGAGGCTCAACCACTGAGCCACGTCCCTCCCAGCCCCCGGACCCCCCGGACCCCTTCCCAAGCTGTGCATTCTTGAGTTTTCAACCCGTTTTGGGCTTCTTTCAGTCTCCCTATCCCCCTTCCCCCTCCAAAGCGGCTCTGGGTCCGAGTGACCGGAAAGGCAGTAGTCGCCACCGTGGGACCCAGGACTGGCCTGTGAGTCCTGCCTAGCAACCCTCCGTGCCTGGCAACCGTCCTCTGGGCCTGGCCGTTGACTCAGGGATTAGAGAATGCTGGCTACGTCCATGTTACCAACAGGCCCCTCCCTCTTTTTTTCCTTTTTTTAAAATATATTTTTATTGATTTTTTACAGAGAGGAAGAGAGAGGGACAGAGAGTCAGAAACATCGATGAGAGAGAATCATCCATCAGCTGCCAGTTTTTTTTTAATTTTTTAAAAAAATATATTTTATTGATATTTTACAGAGAGGAAGAGACAGAGAGTCAAAAACATCGATGAGAGAGAATCATCCATCAGCTGCCTCTTTTTTTTTTTAATTTAAAACAAATATATTTTATTGATTTTTTACAGAGAGGAAGAGAGAGACAGAGAGTCAGAAACATCGATGAGAGACAATCATCCATCAGCTGCTTCTTTTTTTTTTAATTTAAAAAAATATATTTTTTTTATTGATTTTTCACAGAGAGGGAGAGAGAGGGATAGAGAGTTAGAAACATCGATGAGAAACATCAACCAGCTGCCTCCTGCACACCCCCCACTGGGGATGTGCCCGCAACTAAGGTCCATGCCCTTGACCGGAATCGAACCCGGGACCTTTCAGTCTGCAGGCCGATGCTCTATCCACTGAGCCACACCGGTTTCGGCTCCCTCCCTCTTTTGTAATCTCCTCCAGAGGGAGGTCGCGGGCATGTGGGTGGACAGCAGTCCCCTCCCCGAGTTTCATGATAAACATCCTATACAATAAAAGGCTAATATGCAAATTGACCAAATGGCAGAATGACAGGTCTCTGTGATGTGCCCTGACCGCCGAGGGGACAGACGCTCAGTGCAGGAGCTGCCCCCTGGTGGTCAGGGCGCTCCCACAGGGGGAGCCCTGCTCAGCCAGAATCCGAGCTCACGGCTGGTGAGGGGTGGTGGGTGGTGGTGGGAGCCTCTGCAGCCTCTATGGCAGTCAGACATCCTACCCCCTCACCCCCGAGAGCATCCTGGATTGTGAAAGGACACAGGCTGGGCTGAGGGGAAACTCCCTTCCCCAGTGCACAAATTCCGTTCACCAGGCCTCTAGTTGTTTATATGAACTAGAGACCCGGTGCATGAAATCTGTGCACGGGTAGGGTCCCTAGGCCTGGCCAGCGACCAGGGCCAATCTGCAGGGCCATCGGGGACTTGCTGGCTCTTGCCTTGGTTGGCCTGGCGCCGCTATTTGCTGGCCCCGCGCCCACAGTCCCCAGTTGCTTGGGGCTGGGACACCATAATGGACAAATTAGCATATCGCCCCTTTACATGTATAGACTAGAGGCCCGTTACAGGAAGATTCGTGCAATAGGCTTTCCCGCCCCTGGCTGCTGGCACCGGTTTTCCTCCAGCACCCGGGACCCAGGCCTCAGCTCTGGCCATCGCCTTCCATCTTCACTGTAGGTGGAATCTTTTCTCAGGAGCCTTCAGTCTTTGCTCCAGCCAGAGCACCGCTCCTGTAGCTCCCTCCCTCCACCCCTGCCCTTCCCCTCATATCAGGTGTCCCACCCCGCTCAGCCACTCCCCACCTACATGCATGCTGCCCAGAGGCCTGGAGCGGCTGGGGGTCGGGGCCACCTACATCTTTGCTGGGCTAATTTGCATACTCACTTCTGATTGTTTGGCGGGTGTTGTGAAGTGACGGTCAATTTGCATATTTCCCTTTTATCCGTGTAGATTACTACACAATATGTGTTTGAAGAAGGTAACCTTCCCGTTTGGTTTCTCGTCTGCCCAGGCGACACCGCTGCCCACATGGAACCACGAGGATTTACGAACACTCTGGCGCCTTTTGCCCAACGACGGAATATCTGGAAAACTACCCCACATATGGCATCGTCCCCCCAGCCCAGAGTCTCAAGCCCAAGCCAGACGCCCGGGCGGACCGCGGGCAGATGGACGGGATCACGACCTTTAAGTAAATACAGGGCGGCCCTCTGCCTTCCTCCTCTTCCTCCCGGCTCTCCTGGGTCCGAGTAACGTTGCTGAACTCCTCGGGGGACGTACTCAGGAAGCCATCCAATCACAGAAAGCTAGCTGAGTCATCCTGTGAGAAAATAAACAAACAAATACACAAAAAAACAACAACAACAGAAAGATGAGGATTGTGTTTGAATGACAGACAATGAGCAGGGAAATAGACGTTCTATTGAGATGGTTGACCTGCTAAAAATCCCTCGTATCTTATCTGTTTTTCGGGAAAGCATAGCTTTCTGACTGTTCTATCTGCGGCTCCTCTGACCTGTTTTCTCTACTTTGGCCTGCCAAGGTGATCTTTTTTATTTTTATTTATTTATTTTAGAAAATATATTCTTTATTGATTTTTTTACAGAAAGGAAGAGAAAGGGATAGTTAGAAACATTGATGAGAAAGAAACATCGACCAGCTGCCTCTTGCACGCCCCCTACCGGGGATGTGCCCGGAACCAAGGCACATGCTCTTGACCGGAATCGAACCCGGGACCTTTCAGTCCACAGACCAACGCTCTATCCGCTGGGCCACACCGGTTTCGGCTAGAGGGTCTTTATTGATTCCAGACAGAAAGGGGAAAAGAGGAACATCCATGAGGAGAGAGAATCATGGACCAGCTGCCTCCTGCACGCCCCCCAATGGGGATGGAGCCTGCAACCCGGGCCTGTGCCCTTGGCCGGGAATCGAACCCTGACCTCCTGGTTCCTAGGATGAGGCTCAGCCATTGAGCCACGCCAGCCGGGCGGTGTCACCAGTCCTCATTTTGTTGCCCATAGAGCTCATTCCGACCGCATGGCTGAGGTGAGGTCCAGAGTCAGCAGGAGTCTGCCCCGGAAAGGCTGACGGCACTAGGGACACGTCGCATGTCCTGAGGACACGTCCAATGAATAAATGCGCCCTTTCCCCTCGCTGCCTCTTTCTGAAAGAGCGTCGGCCTGCAGACTGGAGGGTCCTGGTTTTTGTTTGTTTTTAAATAAATTTTTATTGTTCATATTATTACAAATGTTCCTTCCCCTCACCCCCCCAACACCACCATTGCTCTCCTCCACCAGGTTCCCACCCCACCCTCTGCCCTTTCCCCACTCCCCATTGTCCTCATCCATAGGTGCACAGTTTATGTTCAGTCTCTTCCCCCATCCCCCCTCTTCCCTTTTCCCCAAGAATCTTCAGTTCACTCCCCTTCCATACCTCTGAATTCTATTTATTATATTCAACAGTTAATATTGTTCATCAGATTTTTTTAAAAAAATTTCCTTGGTTTTTAGGTTCACTTGTTGACAGTTACGTATAATTTGTTGTTCATAATTTTTATCTTTATTTATGGTCCTGGGTTTGATTCCGGTCCAGGGCACGTGCTTGGGTGGCAGGAGCTGCCCCCTGGTGGTCAGTGCGCTGTGACAGCCAACCCCCCCCGTAGTCCCTCCCCCCTGGCCGGCCTGTCCACCCAGATCAGCCCCAATTGCCCACCAGGCAGAGGGACACCTCCCCCTGCCAGTGCACGAATTCGTGCACCAGGCCTCTAGTTAGAAATAAAAGGATTGGCCGAAACCGGTGTGGCTCAGTGGATAGAGCGTCGGTCTGCGGACTGAAAGGTCCCGGGTTCGATTCCGGCCAAGGGCATGTACCTTGGTTGCGGGCGCATCCTGGGTAGGGGGTGTGCGGGAGGCAGCTGGTCGATGTTTCTCTCTCATCGATGTTTCTAGCTCTCTATCTCTCTCTCCCTTCCTCTCTGTGGAAAATCAATAAAATATATATATATATATTTTTTTTTTTTTTTAAAAAAGAAAAGAAATAAAAGGATCGGGGAGGCTATGTGTCCAATGTATGTCTTTCAGATCGGATTACCGCCCCCATGAGATAGTCCCGCGGCCCCGCCACCTTCCAGAAGAATACAAACCGCGATCGGGGGACATTGATCTCCATACCACCTACAAGCGGGACTTCAACCCGTACCCCGCGCAGCCCGTGGCGATGGTCCGGCCCCCAGAGGGACGGCACGTTCAGAAAGGGAAGCTGGACACCGTCCCCACCTACAAAGGTAACCCCGTTTCGAAAAGGACACAGCCAGCCGAAACCGGCGTGGCCCCGTGGATAGAGCGTCGGCCTGCGGACTGAAGGGTCCCGGGTCCGATTCCTGTCAAGGGCGTGTACCTTGGTTGCGGGCACATCCTCGGTGGGGGGGGGGGCGTGCAGGAGGCGGCTGATGATGTTTCTTTCCCATCGATGTTTCTGGCTCTCTATCCCTCTCCCTTCCTCTCTGTGAAATAAAATCAATAAAATATATTTAAAAAAAAAAAAAAAAAAAAAAAAGGGCAGAGCCAGCCTGCCCGGCATGGCTCGGTGCTTGAGCGTCGACCTATGTCACGTTCAATTCCCGGTCAGGGCACAGGCCCGGGTTGTAGGTTTGATCCCCAGTGTGGGGGCGTGCAGGAGGCAGCCGATCCGTGATTCTCTCTCATCGTGGATGTTTCTCTCATCTCCCTTCCTGTCTGAAAGCAACACACACACACACACACACACACACACACACACACACATGCTGCAGGACTACTACATGAAATTCATGCAGGTGTGTGTGGGGGAATATCCCTCAGCCCAGCCTGCACCCTCTCCAATCTGGGACCCCTCAGGGGATGTCTGGCTGCCAGTTTAGTGGGATTGGGGCTAGACGGGCAGTCGGACATCCCTCTCACAATCCGGGACTGCTGGCTCCCAACGGCTCGCCTGCCTGCCTTCCTGATTGCCCCTAAGTGCTTCTGCCTGCCAGCCTGATCGCCCCCTCACCACTCCCCTGCCAGCCTGATCACCCCCTCACCACTCCCCTGCCAGCCTGATCACCCCCTCACCACTGCCCTGCCAGCCTGATCACCCCCTGCTGGACGTCCAGCCTAGCTGCTCCCCTGCCAGCCCTGTTTGCCCCCCAACTTCCCACCTCTGCCGGCCTGGTCGCCCCTAACTGTCCTCCTCTGCAGGCCTGGTCCCTTCCAACTTCCTTCCCCTCCTGCCCTAATCACCCATAATTTGCCCTCACCTGCTGGCCATCTTGTGGCAGCCATCTTGTTTTGGAGTGATGTTCAATTTGCATACTACTCTTTTTTTTTTTTAATACACTGTTTTATTTTTTATTTAATATATTTTATTGATGTTTTACAGAGAGGAAGGGAGAGAGATAGAGAGTTAGAAACATCCATGAGAGAGAGTCATCGATCAGCTGCCTCCTGCACACCCCCCACCGAGGATGTGCCCGCAACCAAGGTCCATGCCCTTGACCGGAATCGAACCCGGGACGCTCTATCCACTGAGCCACACCTGTTTTGGCAATTTTTGCATATCACTCTTCTATTAGATAGTCTGTTTTTCTCTCTCTCCCCCTCCCCCTTCCTCTCTGCAACCAAATCATCTCTCTCTCTCTCTCTCCCTCCCTCCAGACGATTACAGAGCGTGGGAACCCCAGAAAAGCCGCCTCTGCAAGCCGGAGCGCGCGTACCGCCCCCCGTCGGCGCAGTTCGGGAACCCCACCACCACGTTCCAGGACGACTTCGTGCCCCGGGCCGCCCCGGGGCCCCGGCAGAGCTTCCGGCCGCAGCCGCAGATGCCCGTCCTCTCGTGGGCAGCGGGGGCGTTCGACGGGGTGAGCACCTTCCGGGCCCACTACGTGCCCCACGAGCCGGTGCCCAGGGACAGCTGCAAGCCCACCCCGGCCCCCGCGCACGGCCCCGGCCCCTTCCAGGACCAGACCTCCTACTCCGTCGACTTCGTCCCCAAGAGGCAGGAGGTCTGCCCGGCCAGCTTCCCGTCCCCCCCGGGGTACGTCTTCGAGGCGGCCAACTCCCGGGGCCACCGGTTCTTCCGCAAGGTCGCGCCCGCCGCCTCCTCCAGGCAGGCCTCCTAGACTGCAGGCCTCCGAGCTTGCAGGCCTCCTAGCTTGCAGGCCTCTGAGCTTGCAGGCCTCCTAGATTGCAGGCCTCCTAGCTTGCAGGCCTCCTAGACTGCAGGCCTCCGAGCTTGCAGGCCTCCGAGCTTGCAGGCCTCCTAGATTGCAGGCCTCCTAGCTTGCAGGCCTCCTAGCTTGCAGGCCTCCTAGCTTGCAGGCCTCCTAGCCTGCGGCACGCTGAGAAAGAGGCTTACAAAACCACCTGTTTACAGAGTCCGGGGTGGGGTGGGGGGAATGCACGAGAGCTCCGCACATGCTCGCGTGACGGTTCTTCAATCAAGAAAATTGGACACTTGCCCGGCAGGTGTGGCTCCTTGGTTGAGCATCGACCCATGAACCAGGAGGTCACGGGTTCGATCCGCCCCCCCCCCCCGCCCCCCAGTCAAGGCACATTCCCCGGGTGGCGAGCTGATCCCCAGTAGGTGGCGTGCAGGAGGCAACCCATCGAGGTGTCTCTCTCCCATCAATGTTTCTCTCTGTGTCTCTCCCTCTGCCTTCCACTCTCTCTAAAAATCACTGGAAACATATCCTCGGGTGAAGATTCACAACAACAAACATAAAATAAAAATCATGTTTAAAAAAAAAAAAGTTTTTTTTTTTTTTTTTTAAAAAAGGAAGATGAATGCAATGTAACACAGCCTCAAAATTACTGCGAAATGAGCCTGGCCGGCGTGGCTCAGTGGTGAGCGTCGACCTAGGAACCAGGAGGTCATGGTTCGATTCCCGGTCAGGGCACAGGCCCGGGTTGCAGGCTCCATCCCCCGTGTGGAGCGTGCAGGAGGCGGCCGATTCATGATTTTCTCTCATCATCAATGTTTCTCTCTCTCTCTCTCTCTCTCCTTTCCTCTCTGAAATCCACACACACACACACACACACACACACACACACACGAAGGCAGCCGCGGCAAAAGGTCCCCAGGCTACCACAACCAAAAGCCATCGGTAAGGATGCCGCTGAGTCATAGAAGTTCATTTATTTCCAAGTTTCTCCTGGATCACCAAAGAGACCTCCTTCTGCTGCAGGAGCAGCCATAAAATTCAGCACAGCCGAAACCGGTGTGGCTCGGTGTATATAGTGTCAGCCTGCGGACTGAAGGGTCCCAGGTTCGATTCCGGTCAAGGGCATGGACCTTGGTTGCGGGCACATCCCCAGTAGGGGGTGTGCAGGAGGCAGCTGATCGATGTTTCTCTCTCATCGATGTTTCTAAGTCTCTATCTCTCTCCCTTCCTCTCTGTACAAAATCAATAAAATATATTTTAAAAAAAATACAGCATGCAGGAATGTCCTTGGAATGACGAGAAATACAAATACCACCACAGCTGACGGGAAAGAGCAACTTTATAGACAGGGGGAGCTGGTAAGACAGCTTGTTACTCAGATATATATTTTTAAAACAATATACCGTATTTTCCGGCGTATAAGACGACCCCCTAATTTTTTACAGTTAAAACTTAGGTTTAGGCCTATATTCGCTGCATAAAAGACTACCCCCCACTTCAAAGAAAAGACTTACTTTGCCGTCAAGATCTGCAGGTAATTTTTGTGCAATTTTGGTCTTTTGCCCCTGATTTTCGGTTGACTTATTTTCGTTTCAAAGGTCGTCTTTCTTACACACTGTACATCATAAAACACCGCAGCTCTGAGTTTCGGAAGAAGTATTTACAGAGTATGGTACACACTTTGAATGTAAGAACCTTCAATCAGCGCCCGGCCGGCTGGCTGGCGCGGCTCCGTGGTGGAGCATCAGCTCGGGAACCAGGAGGTCCCGGGTTCGATTCCCGGTCAAGGGGCCCATGCCCCGGAGTGGCAGGCTCCATCCCCAGGGTGGGGCGTGCAGGAGGCTGCTGATCGAGACCAAGGATTCTCTCCCTAGCTGGTGTGGCTCAATGGATAGAGCCTAAGACTGCAGACGGAAGGGTCCTGGGTTCGATTCCCAGATCAGGGTACCTGCCTGGGTTGCAGGTTCGATCCCCAGTAGGGGGTGTGCAGGAGGCAGCCGATCCGTGATTGCCTCTCAACATGGATGTTTTTCTAACTCTCAATCCCTCTCCCTTCCTCTCTGTAAAAAATCAATTATATATATATATATTTATATATTTATGTCAGCTTTCGTCTGGCTCTGTGGTTGAGCATCGACCTATGAACCAGGAGGTCCTGGTTCGATTCCCGGTCAGGGCACCTGCCTAGATCCCCAGAAGGGGGCGTGCAGGAGGCAGCTGATGGGTAATTCTCATCATCGATGTTTCTCTCTTCTTCTCTGAAATCAAAAATAAAAAAAAGATATATATTTTTAAAAATTTAGCTTTCGCCCAACCTCGTGGCTCCGTTAGCTGGTGGGTTCACAGAACGGTGGCCGGTTTGATTCCTGGTCAGGGCCCATGCCTAGGTTTCAAGTTCGGTCCCCAGTTGGGGTGCAAGCGAGAGGCATCCAATTGGTTTAGTCTCTCACATCAGTGTCTCTCCCTCTCTCTCATCAACAACTGTATTCTTGAGGGAGGATTCAAAAACAAAACCAGCTTTAGGATTCATAAATTAATGCCAGTCCCACATCGCGTCAGTAGCAAGTCAACATCCGCCCTGACATTGTCACTAACCCTAGCCTTCGCCTCAATCCAAACCCAACTCCCGCTGAAACCGGTGTGGCTGAGTGGATAGAGCATTGGTCCGTAAACTGAAGGGTCCAGGGTTCGATTCCCGTCAAGGGCGTGTACCTTGGTTGTGGGCACGTCACCAGTGGGGGGTGTGCAGGAGGCAGCTGGTCCATGATTCTCTCTCATCAGTGTTTCTAGCTCTCTATCCCTCTCCCTTCAATAAAATAATAAAATATATATATTTTAAAAATAAAATAAACTCAACTTCCGCCTCACCAGTTCCACGGCCAATGCCAGCCTGCACCCTAACTCAGCTCCTATCCTCACCCACCCCAATCCTAGAGCTGAAACCCAATCTTCCACGGGTTCACCCCAACCCTCTTCCACACACGAACCCCGGTCCTGACTGAACCTTCATTCACACTGGACGCACAAACACCAGTTCCAATGAAAAAACAATCGTTGACTATCGATGATTCCCCCCCCCCCCCCACAAGCCATCCTAGTTCGATAACTTTCTTATCATTTCCCCCCAATGAAAACCCTCAGGAATTTCATGTTCTGCATACATTCTTCTAAGGCTTTGGTTCCCCCCCCACCCCCCGATTGTGTGCAAGAATGTAGTGCTGGGAGGTGGGGGGATTGCATTCACCGCCCTCAGGATGTGCGTGAACTCAATTCAAAATCAGTAGAAACGCGTTCCCTCCTCCTTTGATTTCCAAGATGTGGCGCGCCGTCACAGAATAGATCTGCGTCCTTTGGGTCCGCGGGTTCTCTGAGAGCGAGGACAGTCCCTGGGGCCTGGCCGGTGAGACCCTGTCTTTGTTCAAGACTCCACGTCAGGATCCGTACAGACGACGTCAACGCCAACATAGCCACAAGCACTGACCAGAGTTCATCACCTGCAAATGTCCGACGCACCTGCCGACGCCCGGACTCTCGCGGGAAGGGGAAGCCCTGGGTCCCTGTGTCTCCCTGAGCCTTGAGGATGCCCAACGCTACACCAGCCTCGCCTTGCCCCAGGGACCCAGAGGTCGGTCCCGGGTTCGATTCCCGGTCGGTGGGGGCACACCCCCAGGAGCAGCCGAGGGGGACGGGTTGGACTAGTGTCTCTCGGACTGACTCGGCTGGAAGGACCACGGCCGTGGGAAACGATGGGACAAAACGTTAGCAGCGGGGACTGATCACGGGCCTGGGTTTCATGGCAGAATCGGGAGCTTTGTGGGTTTTTGTTTTTTAAAGAAATGCATATTTTGGCGCGGCAGGCGTGGCTCAGTGGTTGAGCGTCGACCTAGGAACCAGGAGGTCTTGGTTCGATTCCCGGTCAGGGCACAGGCCCAGGATCCCCAGTGTGGGGCCCGCAGGAGGCAGCTGCCGGTCCATGATTCTCTCTCCTCATGGATGTTTCTCTCTCTCTCCCTCTCCCTGCCTCTCTGAAATCAATACAAATCTTTTTTTTTTTTTTTTTTACGTTAACTGTGGTGACTGCACATCAGCCTGCATTGGACGGCGGAATTTAGAGGTTTGTGGCTTTTTAAAGAAATTCGTGGAGTTTTTTTTAACCAATGACTCGGGCGAGACACCGGCTCTGACGTTCCCGTTTCTTCGCCTCGGATGCATGCCTGCCGCCACGGGGCAACCCGAGACGCACGGCCGGGGCCACCTCTCCCCGCAGAGGCCCAGCGAGCAGACACAGGCGCTTCACACGCGTGCAGCGGTCAGTGGCGTCGGTGCAGGTTCCTGCGGACAGGACGACAAGACAGACATGTAAAACCGCGTGCACATGACACACCACTCGTGAGAAACCGGGTTAAAAAACAACGGATTTGCCCGGCGGGCGTGACTCAGGGGCTGAGCGTTGACCTAGGAACTAGGAGGTAAGGTTTCGATTCCCGGTCAGGGCACAGGCCCGGGTTGCAGGCTCCATCCCCAGTGCGGGGCGTGCAGGAGGCAGCTGATCCATGATTCTCTCTCCTCATGGATGTTTCTCTCTCCCTCTCCCTTCCTCTCTGAAATCAATAAAAATACAATTTTTTTTTTAAAAGAACACAGTCCTAGCCAGTATGGCTCAATGGATAGAGCATCGGCCTGGGGACCAAAGGGTCCTGGGTTCGATTCCAGTCAAGGCCAGGTACCTCGGTAGAAGGCTCCTCCCCAGCCTGGTCCCTGGTCAGGCGCATGCAGGAGGCAACCCATCGATGTGTCTCTCTCACATCGATGTTTCTGTCTCTCCCTCTCTCTTCCACTCTCTCTAAAAAATCAACGGGAACATATCCTCAGGTGAGGATTAACCAAAACCAAACAAATTTTTAAAAAACCACATATGCCGAAACCCATGTGGCTCAGTGGATAGAGCGTCGGCCTGT